TGATGACACCAACCCTGAGAAAGAGGAAGCAAAGTTCTTCACCGCCATTTCCGACATGGTGGCCTGGCTGGGTATGGGCTGAGCGAGGCCTGGACCGAGCTGGTGGTCAGTGGGCTTCTCCCTGGGCCGTGGCCTGTCATGGGGTGTCCCCGACTGATTGCTCATACTGTGTCTCATTCTGCCTCAGGTTACACACCGTACAAGGTGACATATGCCTCTGACTATTTCGACCAGCTGTATGCCTGGGCGATAGAGCTCATCCGCAGGTGAGGCCAGGGCCGTGATGTGGAGCCAGGCGGGCTGGCTGGGACACAGCCATACTCGGCACTCACGCCCCTTCCCCACAGGGGCCAGGCCTATGTGTGCCACCAGCGAGGAGAGGAGCTCAAAGGCCACAACGCTCCGCCATCGCCCTGGAGAGACCGTCCCATAGAGGAGTCACTGCTACTCTTCGAGGTGGGGTTTCGGAGGGGCAGGTGGGGCTGGGTAGGCCAGGAGGCCAAGGACGAGAAAGAAGCCCCCGTGCTGAGAGGCAACCTGAGCCCTTGCTCCCCTCAGGCGATGCGCAAGGGCAAGTTTTCGGAGGGCGAGGCCACGCTGCGGATGAAGCTAGTGATGGAGGATGGCAAGATGGACCCTGTGGCCTATCGAGTCAAGTACACACCGCACCACCGCACAGGGGACACCTGGTGGGTTTGAGCATGAGGTGGGTTGGTGGGCCGTGGGTAGGACAGAGTGGGGCTGGATGGTAGGGCCCACCGCCTATGCCCTGCAGGTGCATCTACCCCACTTATGACTACACGCACTGCCTCTGTGACTCCATCGAGCACATCACCCACTCACTCTGCACCAAGGAATTCCAGGCCCGGTGAGGGAGCTGGGCCCGTGGGGTGGTAGGGCCAGTGGCATTCCAGCAGCCCTTCCTGTGGTCTCTCCTTGGTCTGAGGTCCTGACTGTACCCTCCTACCGCAGACGCTCCTCCTACTTCTGGCTGTGCAATGCTCTGGACGTCTATTGCCCTGTGCAGTGGGAGTATGGCCGTCTCAACTTGCATTATGCAGTCGTCTCTAAGAGGAAGATTCTCCAGCTCGTGGCAGCTGGTGCCGTGCGGTAGGTGTAGTTGTTTGGCTCTTCAAAGTTGGTGGTATTACTGGCACGTGCTGCCAAAGGTCTCACAACCTCCTTGCCCGCAGGGACTGGGATGACCCACGGCTCTTCACGCTCACAGCCCTACGACGGCGGGGCTTCCCACCTGAGGCCATCAACAACTTCTGTGCTCGGGTATGGCGCACTGGGCTGGGTGGACAGGTCGGGGCTGGGCATGGCAGTCTGTGGTTGTAGCTGTGACTGATGCTGCCCTTTCCTCTTAGGTGGGGGTGACAGTGGCACAGACCACAATGGAGCCACATCTGCTAGAAGCCTGCGTGCGTGATGTACTGAATGACACAGCCCCACGGGCCATGGCTGTGCTGGAGCCATTACAGGTCATCATCACCAACTTTCCTGCTGCCAAGGTAGGTCTGCCTCAGTGTGTGTGTCTGTGTGGGTGCAGGGTATTGGGGTACTCTAGTGCCTAGTGGGACTCAGGCACCCATTTCTTGCTGCAGTCTTTGGACATCCAGGTGCCCAACTTTCCAGCTGATGAGACCAAGGGCTTCCATGAGGTTCCCTTTGGATCCATTGTCTTCATTGAGAGGACTGACTTCAAGGAGGTGAATGGGAGGGTGGAGGTTCCTGTTTGCTGCCTAGCCCGGTTCTGAAGAATTCTGCTTCCTGCTTCAGATGAACCAACCCTTCCCAACATCGGGGTGGGGGAGAAACCTCTTGTGCCTGTCTGACCCTTGCAGCCTTTTGTGGCTACCTTATTTCCTGCCTCTAGGAACCAGAGCCTGGCTACAAGCGCCTGGCAAGGGGCCAGCCTGTGGGCCTGAGGCACACGGGCTATGTCATCGAGCTGCAGCGAGTCGTGAAGGTGAGAGCCAGCTGCAGCCTTCCCACCGCGGTGCCTGCTGGGGGGAAGATGTGGGTGCAGGCCGCACACAGTCCTGGTGGTGGCCCCAAAGTCTGATGGCAGGCCTCTCCCCCTTGACTTAAAAGGGCGCTAGTGGCCGTGTGGAAAGCCTGGAGGTGACCTGCAGAAGGGCAGATGCTGGAGAAAAGCCCAAGGCCTTTATTCACTGGGTGTCACAGCCTCTGACGTGTGAGATTCGCCTCTATGAGCGTCTGTGAGTGAACAGAGCAGGGGCGGGGACAGGTGGAAGGTGGGCACTGCCTGCTGGGGCTGCCCTCTGGAATCTGACCTTCGCTCTGGTTGCAGATTCCACCACAAGAACCCTGAGGATCCTGCTGAGGTGCCTGGTGGATTCTTAAGTGACCTGAACCCGGTAGGCTCATGGGGTACGGGGTGAGGGTGGGGGGCCTCCCTGACCGGGCGCCCATCTGAGTTCCCTGCCCGCAGGCATCGCTACAAGTGGTGGAGGCGGCGTTAGTGGATTGTTCCGTGGCTCTGGCAAAGCCCTTCGACAAGTTCCAGTTTGAGCGGCTTGGCTACTTCTCCGTGGATCCGGATAGCCACCAGGGACAGGTGCCTGCCTTTACCTGCCGGGCTTTTCCACAGCAATGACAGCGTCCATCCACTGTGCTGAGCGCTTTGCCTACGTTCCCTTAGTTACTCCTCCCCACTGGAGGCGGGGGTTCACGTTCTACTGATGAGGAAACAGGCTCAGAGGTTAAGTCCATGCGCAACATTTTGTGTGGACTCTGCCTTTCCTACTCCTCAAAGAAGGGGGCAGGCGTAGGGGCTGTTATAATCTGTATAAAATGGAGGCCCAGAGCCATCCATTCGCTCACCCAGAGTAGTAAATTTATTGAGAACCTGTCTCCTGACCCTCGGCTCCTCTGGGATGAATGAGGTGAGGGGGTGGGTGTCCACAGTGAGATCCACCCAGGGCCTTCTGGCCCCGCTTTGGTGGTCATTCCTCCCTCTCTGCCCTCCAGCTTGTCTTCAACCGGACCGTCACACTGAAGGAGGACCCAGGAAAGGTGTGAGCCGGGAGCCCCGTGGACTCACCTCATCTTTCAGGAGGCTAGGGGTACCCACACTCCATGTCAATAAAGAACAGTGAAACCCCCCCACCTCCGGAGTCTGTGTTACCTATCTGCACCCCCAGCACCTGAGGGCCTTAGAGCCGTGCGGAAGGGTGGGAGTGGGGCGGGGCGGGGGGGTGGCGATGCACTGCGCACAGCCACCGCTGCGCTTATCTGTGCGTTGCACTTATCCGTGCGCAAGGGCAGGGGCCTGGGCCTGAATGGATATCCTCTGCACCTGGTCTGCGGGAATGGTGGTGGGCCCTGGGGTGCAGCCCCCCTGTTAGGAGCCCTGTGCCAGAGGGCTCTGGGAAGTTTGTGTCTGCCTGGGTACCTAGATGGATGGCGAGGCCAAGCGCCCTGTCCAGTTATTCAGCAAATGACCGAGTGCCTACTTTGCGCCATGCTCAGGGAGAAGAGGAAGACAGGATGGCCAGGCAGCGTGCAGGAGAGGTTTCCTTGAGGCCTCCATGAGGTTGCAGGACTTTCCTGGCTCAGCCTGGGCTTCAGAAGCCTACTCTCAGGAAGTGACTCCTGAGGGGAACCCCAAAGGGTGACGGATAGTTTGCCAGGGCAGGAGGAACAAGCAAAGATCCAGAGGCCTTTTTAAGAGTATGGGAGGCTGGTTGCTCTCTAGGGCACTGTGGGCTACTGCTGAGTCCTGAGTGTGTCTGCAGCTTTAACAACCCTCCACATTTTCCCTGTATACAAACACCGGGCTACCAGAGGCCCGCTTTAAGGTGGACTGGGCTGCGGAAGGCTGATTAGAAAGGCAGGAGATGGGTGGGGGAGGAGGGTCCCAGAAACTAAGCACACGGAGAGGAGAGTATCCTGGGACGTTCCAAGTGGGAGGCGGCTGGAGCACCAGGGCTATTTCAGGAGCCGTGGGGGGCCACCTTAAAGTAGAGTCTGGGCCCCGCCCCGTGCGGTGCTGCACGACCTAAGGAGGCCCGGGCAGGCGTCAGAAGGTGGCTACAGAGCAAGCTTCGAGTCCCAGCCTGCCCAGACACGAAGGCTACGCCGATCTCCGTCCCTGGCTCCGCCCCGCACGAGGGGGCGTTCGAAGGCGGGGTGCTCCGCCCTATACCCCTCTTCTCGCCGCTACTGCAGCCTGTGGCCAGGCCTACCGCTTCGGCAGAAGCGTTCCCTTTAAGTCTGGCCAGGAGGTTACCTCAACTCTCGCGGGACCCGACGCCCGAGTTATCGCGAGAGGGGCATTCGGCACTCATTGGCTATGAGGGTTGAATGTAAGATGGCGCCCAGGGAGCTGTGAGGGGAAAATCCTGTCGGTCTTGGAGCGGCGACGGCAGAACCGGGCCCCCGAGCGGTGCAGCGGGGCCGGCGGGTAGAACGGCGGCGGCGGCGACGGCGGCGACGTCGCCGGGTGAGGGCTCCAGTGGGGACAGGGATGTGGCAAGGCTGAGGGCCTGAGACAGCGGGCCCACCCCACACAACGGCGGGCGGGGGCGGGCGGGCTGTTGCTGCTGCTGCTGGGCCCAGGAGACCTTGGGGCGGCCCCGGAGCGGAGAATGTCCCTGGGCTCGCGCGCCCCCGCCCCTTGGGTGGGGGAGGGGCGGATGGGGATCGGGTGGGCGCGGCGCGCGGACGCGCACTGGTGCTCGCGCGCGGCCAGGCCTGTTTATACGCACGGGAGCGCGCGCGCCGTGCGGCTCTCCAGGTGCGCGTGGCCGCCGACGTGCGCGTCCCCGGCCTGGATTTCTCCGTTCCTGGAACTGCGGCCTGGGGGCAAGAACGGCTTTCTGGGCGCGCGCGCGCGCCCTCGACCCCTGGCTTCGGGACGCGTGCCCTGCTGTTGGGTGGCGGCGCCTCCGCGAGAGCGCGCAAGGCGCCCCTGCTGCGCGGAGAAGCGGCGGGCAGGAGGCTGGCAGTGTGAGGAAGGTTGCGGGTTGGGTCCTTCCTGCCTTGGTGACGTCCCCCAACCGCTCGCAAAAAACCAACCGGTTTTGCGGTCTGACCAGCGGCCCTGCTCCGCTGCGAGGCGGGCGAAATTGCTCGTTCTTGAATAATGCGGTGACCGGAGGCCCCTGTGTGCGGTGTGGGTATTTGGAGAGAGTGCGGGCCTGGTTCTGAAATCTAGTCCTGTTGGTCTGAGGGCTGCGAGCCCCCTGGAGTTTTCTCATCTTGCTCTGCTGCTTTGTGCTGCAGAGGTAAGGTAGTTCTGGAAGGCTCTCTTTCAGCGTAACCTGCTTTCGTGTCATCAGAAAGTAATTTTTCCATAAGCGCAATTCATACACGTCACCTCTGTGCGCTCCGGAAGGGGATCCTCTTGTGTGGACAAAGTGAAACGATCCCTACTCTGAAATTCCACTTTAATTAAATCCTTAAATTCAGCCCATCTTTGTGGATGGGAGGGACTTGTACGCGTAGACTAAGGGCCCACTATTGGTCAGCCCAAAAGTTGCCCAGAACAAAATTGAACAACCTGAAAATCAGTACTTTGCCTTCTTTTGTAGTTCCAAAAATGCCCATCAGAAGAAATTCTTAAAATCTGACCGGGTATCACTGCAAGACTCACTTTTGATACAGATTCAATTGTTTTCAGTCTTTTTAATTTTAACCGTAGTGCTATGTTCTGGTACCAGGGGAGTTTCAGGTTTGTCTTAGGGAAATCACACTTCTTTTTCTAAGACCGAATATCCTGTAGTTTATGTTAAGTTTAAGTAAAAAGAAGCTAATGATGGGGGTAGTTCTTTTTAATGTACTGTATTATTTTAAGAACAGTTAAAATTTAAAAAGAGGCTGAGGATGGAAGGAACTTCTTTGTTCTGTCTTCTTCAGAATGTTACAAGTCTTAAGAACTCAGGACAAGCAGCAGACATACATGCAACATGGTGACTGGTGAGTTAAAATCGTTCATATGCTGGAAATATGTGTGCAGTTTTTTCCTGGTAATATTGAAACATTACAAATCCTACCAATCATTCGGGGTGCTCTCTGTCAGAAATTAGGTGCTGGAAAATTGAAGATGTGGGAGAACTGCATCTTTGAATCCAGACACAGCTTGCTACATTTCCCTGGTAAAATGTAAGTCAGTGCGACTTTCAGGCTTTTAGCATGATGAGGCATCAGCTTCCTAAAGACCTAAGTGTTTCATACTAAAGCAGTCAGTGTTATGTAGGATACACTTAAATTTTTAATATGTCTCTCAGGCCTGCTTGTTCTGAAATAGCTTTGTTTTTTAGTTACTAAGTTTGAGATGCACCTTTTAAGTTGGTGTTTGTAGATAATGTTATTTTTTTTGTAAGCTCATTACCTAAGATTTACCTATCAGATGTCCTGCTTCCAGTCCTTTGATGAATAATTTGTTTACCACTCCACGAACCTCTGCTTTTCCACATCCCCCTTCCAGCTTATGTTGCCATTTCAAACAAACGATGAAATAGTAGTTGAATTTTCTTGTACATTTGAATTGCTCCAAAAAGGGTAACCAAAACCAGTGGCTCTGGGTGTGGCTGCCCTCCATATGACAGCTTCGGAATCAGGGATTTTTTCCTTCAAGCTTGCAAGCCATCTTTTAATTTAATCAGTTGTGAGTTGTCTTTGATATGCCATGCTTCTTGCTTATCTATCTTTTTAATGGTCATCCTTTGTTATTTTTTAAAACCACTCAGCCTCAGAATGAGATGTGCATGAACACCTGTTCTTTTCTCTTACTTTGTGTTCAGTTGCCCCACGTTTTGTTTCAGATGTTTTAAGTCCTCTCCAGCCTTCACTTAAATACTTCATTTGATTTTTTCCCAAGTGTCATACTGGATGGTGATTTCTGATTGTGGCTGCAAGAAGATGCGATAGGTTAACCTCTTGCTTTGCTGAAAGGGGAAAAGAAGTGTCCTTTGGTCTCACTTTTGGTCACAACTGTAGGTAGAGGGTGGTGGGCGGTAGTTGTGTCAGAAAGCTCTTTTTTTCCCTAAGAATTTGTGAAATACCTATCTATACAAATTTGGATGATCTGTATACAATTTAGTGAAAAACTATAAAGTGAACCACTATCTAACTACCACCTCTTTAAGATGGAAAACAGTGCCAGCACCCCTGAACTGAACCTTTCTCGGGTGCCTTTCTGATCACAGCTTCTCACATCCCAGAGGCAATTACTTTTCTGACTTCTATGGTGATCGTGTTCTCTGTTTTTCTTTTTACCTTTACCACCTTGTATTTCTCAGCAATGTGGTTTTGTTTGCTTTTGAATTTTGTGTAAATGGAATCATAACTGTATTTTGTGTCTTAGCATTGTGTTCTTGAAGTTTTTCCACATTGTGTGCAAGTGTAGTTCATTATTTATCCATTCTACTATTTTTTTAAAGACTTTATTTATTTTCAGAGAAAGAGAGGGAGAGAAACATCACTGTGTGGTTGCCTCTCATGCACCCCAAGCTGGGGACCTGCCCGGCAGCCCAGGCATGTGCCCTGACTGGGAATCTAACCAGTGACCCGTTGGTTTGCAGGTGGGCGCTCAATCCACTGAGCCACACCAGCCAGGGCCCATTCTACTATTGATAGACATTTAGATTCCTTCCAGTTTAGGGCTTTTATTAATAACAATGCTATTATTCTAGTGCAAGTACTTTTGTATGTATGTGTGTCCTGTACACCAAGGGATAGAATTCCTGGGTCATATGGAGTGGATCTTTTAAACTTTACTAGATATAGCAAATGGTTGTGCCAATTTGCAGCCCATCAATCTTTGGTAGGACTGTAATTGAAGTTCCTACTTGAAAGTGTGTTGTCCAAAAATGAAACCATAGTGAAGATGCCCCTAAATCAGGACCTTCTCTAGTATAGGCATGGGGCAAATGAATAGTCCAATGGGATAATTTCTATCACAAACCCTGTAGTAGGTTGATATCTTTAAGAACAGAAATGTGTCTCCCAATTTGCTTCCTTGAAATGACTCCTAATGTTAATTAGGACAAATGTGACTGTAACCTCTTGAAATGGAAATTGATTTTTTTCCGAGTGAATGTGTTCTTCAAACTAGACTTCCTAAGCTATGAGGAGTCATTGCTAAAGTGACTGTTGGGGAAATAGGAAGAGGCAGGGCTTTGAGGCAATTCCCATTATCTTCTGGCCCATCACGTATTCAAGAGCCACTCTGCAGAGCTGCGGGGGAGTCTGGAAGAGGTATCAGATTTGAGGGGACCCAAGAAAGGATGGTTCCTCTGAGTACTTAGGTCTTCCCTTAGTATCTAAATAGAAAAAGGAATTAGCAAACAGACCAATAGAAATGTAATAGATTGCTGCTCTGGAGTAACCTTTGTTCGTGATACTATCTTGTGTTCTCCTGATAAAGTAATAAAATAATGATAATGTTGGTATTTGAGGGCCTGCTATGCCAGACATTATGCTAAGCTCTAACAGAGGGCGGACAGGGGGAATACTAGCAATCAAAGTATGCATAAAAGAGCAGATTTCTTGGGTCTGTTGATGGGGGACTGGTTTGTCTGTTTACTGGTGGTTTTTTATTTTTTGTTTTGTGCAGTTTTTAAACCAAGCTTTGGCCAGTTTTATTAAAGAAAAATTCTGCATGATTTAATTTTCACCAGTCTGTTCTGGTATGCTTCTAAAGATACCATAATCACTTTGGATCAGCGATAGCCAGTGTGCATACTCTGTAGTATTTTCCATGCGCTGTGCCCAATTCAATATATTTGCCACTGTGTTGATGTACACCAGTCTTGGCCAACATGGCGTAGTTCTATTTCAGATTTTCTCAACGCTGGACCGTTGTTGGCAAGGATGACCAGTTTCACTTTGCCTTGTCTGATCATGTTCACAGTCTTTTTGTACCCCAGCACGTAATTTCCACTTTTCATAACAAGCTGGGGCCTAGAGTAGATCTATTCCAGTGTCTTTTTTTCTTCTTTGCAGCCACCATCTTCCTGCCTTAGGTGTAGGATGGCCCCTAACCGAGAGCATTTGTGGAGACAGCCCAGGAGTGAGAAAAGCTGTCTGTTTATTGTTTTGCAAAGTAGCTGTTCTGGAAGTGTTCAGAAACCTATGCTTGTTCACAGACCTCTAGCACTCCATCTAGCCCTAGAGTGTTTTCCTCATCTCTTTATTGGGAGTACTCAATCCCTCCAGCTTTGGTTTTTTTTTAAGTACTTTATTTAATATTTACTGCTCCTCCAGCTTTGTTTTTTTTAAGTACTTTATTTAATATTTACTGCTCCTCACCAAGTCTTTGACTTGGAGCTGGTTAAGAATCTTGTTTCTTTCCCTGGCTGGTGTGGCTCAGTGGATTGAGTGCCGGCCTGTGAAACGAAGGGTCACTAGTTCAATTCCTGGTCAGGGCAGTGGCCTGGGTTGCAGGCCAGGTGTTCCTCTTACACGTCGATGTTTATCTGTTTCTCTCTTTTTCCCTCCCTTTCCTTCTCTCTAAAAATAAATACAATCTTTAAAGTAAAAAAAAAAAAAGAATCTTGTTTCTCTTGGGGTTATCGAGAGTTGATTCATTGAGTTTATCCATTTCTCTTTTTCTGTTAAAAGGCTCAGCCTTGTGTGTCTTAAAAACAGCACCTTGAAGAACTTAACAGTTTTTGTTACTATGCAGGCTTCTGGTACTTGATGGTGCTGTCTTTGAGTTTGAGATTTTTGAGGGAAAATCATGCTGTGATCAACCAGAATTGTTTGTCTGTTACTGTTAGTGCGATATAACCATTGTACAAAAAAATTTACTTTTTAATTTTTGTTTAATACAAATTTGGAAAATATAGGAGTGTGTTAAACAAGAAGAAATTTAAGTCCTCTATGATTCCACCATCCAGGCAAAACTACTATTAGCATTTAGATGCATTTTTTTCCCAGCTTTTTTTCTTATGTATATAATTAAATGGTACTGGAATATACAAATACAATTGTGTTTGTTCCCTTCTCATGCAAAGAGTGAAGTATATTTACATAAATAAAAAATATACATACATATTTTAAACCGACTTTGTGTTGGGTGGGGCAGCAAGAATCTTCCAGGTACTAACATCCTTTTTAAAAAAACTTACTACTGTGTTATAGAAAGATCTAGGGGATCACATAGTAAAAGCTTAAGAGCCACTTTAAGCTTTTTAAGTATAGAGCAGAACATCTTTATATGAATTTAATGTGTAATGACAGTGGCATTTTGAGTCAGTGGCAAAGTTATTTCAGTAGTTCAATAAATGATAAAGCAACAAGTTGTTTGGCTTTGGGGAAAAAATTAGAAATTTACCTTACAATATGCAAAATGCTAAATGGATCAAAGCATTATGTTAAAAGTCACACTGTAAATTTAAAAAATTGCCCAGCTGGAGTGGCTCAGTGGATTGAACTCGGGCTGCGAACCAAAGGGTTGCCAGTTCAATTCCCAGTCAGGGCACATGCGTGGGTTGTGGGCCAGGTCCCCAGTGGGGGCTATGTGAGAGGCAATCATACATTGATGTTTCTCTCCCTCTCTTTCTCCCTCCCGTCCCTTCTCTCTAAAAATAAATAAAAATCTTTAAAAAAAATTGTTTATGGAAAATGACCTGATATTATGGGAGGGAAGACTTTTTCCGAACATAAAAGCAAAGGAAGAAACCATCACTGCTGTTGAGAATTTGTTTTTTATTTATTTATTTATTTATTTATTTATTTTTTACTTACTGGTTTAGTGTAAAGTCTTTCAATATATTTCTGTCGCTTTTTGTTTTTCCTTTGTTTTCCTAAGCAGCACTTTTGTGTGAGGTCAGATGCTGACTGGGTATACTTTCGTTACTGGGACGTGTCAGCTGGGTGGATACTGCAAGTGAGCAGGTTGAAAGGACGAGAAAGGAAGCCGTGTGTGTGTTCTAGTCTGTGTAAATGGACAGATTGGATTGTTCTTTGAAATTGTTCTTTTTCATTTTTTGTAACGATTTCATTGGAATACAGTATTCGTTAATATATTTTAGCTTGCTCTGATTCTGTGTTTCTCAAATGATTGTATGGACTTCACAGAGTCAGTAAAGAACCTCCGGGGCGCGTAGTGAAAGAAAAACCGCCTTTGGAAACGATGGCTCCTGCCTGAAGCCCCACCAGTGGTAGTCTCTGCGCTTGGAGCACTGCGGAGGGTTTTACACTGGAGTCTAAACTACTCAAAACACATGGCTAGCTACTAACCAAGAGGTGTTTTTGTTTTTGGGGGTTGTTTTTTCTTTTTTCAGTCTTTTTTTTTTTTTAAGATTTTATTTATTTATTTTTAGAGAGGGGAAGGGAGGGAGAAAGAGAGGGAGAGAAACAACAGTGTGTGGTTGCCTCTCACATGGCCCCCACTGGGGACGTGGCCTACAACCCAGGCATGTGCCCTGACTGGGAATCGAACCTGTGATGCTTTGGTTCACAGTCCGCGCTCAATCAGGAGGTGTTTTTATCATTGAACACATTCCAAATATTTTAACAAGAATAAAGAAGAATATAATGAACATCTGTGTATAAAAATTTATCAACATCTTCTAAGTTTTATAGAATTTTTTCTACTTCAAGCTATTGGTCTTTTCCCTTTTTTGATGAAAGCTTGAAGAAAGAACTTTGAGACTTTATAGCAGATACCTTTTTACATTCGTTTTGAGAGATGACTACCTATCCCTTCTGCTCAGGGAATAAATTTATATTAAGACTAAAGTTTCCTGTAGTGACACTGTTGAAGGTTGCATTCTAGAAATACTGACAGGTAGGATTTGTTTGGAGCAGAATGGTTTTTTATCATCTTCAGAACCTTGATTTAGGAAAATGTTCTGAGTTTGGTATGAAATGTTGTGTTCTAAAACTAGAAGATTAAACAGAACTTACATGCACTCAGCTAAATGTCAAGAATAGAGGGCATGGAACTTTAATTTCCTTGTGTTGTATAGTGGGAAGTCTGGAGACACTCTGAGATTAAAAAGTCCACAAATAGAGGCTCCAAGCCGTGAAAGCGATCATGACAAAAACAAAAATGTGGCCAGCAGAGGCTGGTGAGAAGAAAGAGAGTTCATGCCCTAAACTCGCTGTTCCCAGAGGGCAGGTGAGTGTTCACTTAAAATCTGTAGACCAAGGCCCAGAGGTCAAAACTTTCCTGGTTGTTTGTACTTTTCATTTTATACCTTCCTATCGTATTTGAACAATTCTATTTAGAAAATGGATGTATTAGTTTTATTCCTTCTTGCCCCCTCAAAAAAAAACACCAAAAAGCCAAACAAACCAAAAACGGGAAACCAAAGTGGAATTCTAGACTGAAAACTAAAGAAAGCTTGTTTCTAGAAGAAAAGTTGGTCACCACTTCTCTATACTTAATATGAGACTTCAGATGAGGCTTAAGCCTCTGGAATTACTGAAACTTGGAAAAGTGAAAGGAAATAAGGTCACTAGGAAAATTCTAGGGACTGCCCTTTGCCAAGCAATATTTATATGAAGGTTTCCTGGTTTTATAAACTTAATTTGGAATGCTTCTTTGTGTTTGTCTTATTTATCTTCTCTCAGATTTGAGACAAGTTTTTGCTGCATGACTCTATATTTTTTTTCTTTGAAAAAATTGCTTTGACCCAGTAGCTGTGATTCCAGCACAGGCAGTCTTCAAAATATAGACAGTCTCTCAGTATTTTACAAGATTGCAACAAATTGTTGAAGAAAATAATTTTGGGAAATGTAAATTTCCCAAAATTTACATCTGACCTCTGCTGTTCTTCTATAATGGAGGTAAAAAGAAAATGGAGTAAGTATAAGCATGGTAGAGAACCAGTCGCTAATTGCTGTTCATGTAATCTCTCCTTTTGAGCAGGAAGGTACACGTAATTAGGTATTAGGATCACGTGTTGTGAACTTCACACTGCTCTTGAGTCTGTATCATGAGAGGTGCGTTCTTAAGAAGGAAATTCCAGTCGTGATGTTCTTATCAAAGGGAAGCTTTGACGTGTGCCCATGTGCCGAGTTTGTGGGTCACCCGCACTGGAGTGGCCTGCTCTGAATATGTAACGGAAGGGTGGAGTGCTTGGCCTCAATGCTCTTCTTCCTCGCAATGTGCCATGGGCATCGTTGATAGCTTAATGTTGAGGTCTCATCGCAGACCTCCTCGTTTTCTGCTGGGAGAAGGTAACTCGAAGGCCCTGAAACAGCGAAGGAAGAGCTGGGCAAGGCAGATAGGTGGTCAGAAGAGGTGAGAAGGGGACGAACAAGAGTTAAATTTCAGACAAGAGGCCAGCAGCAGCAGCTCCACCTTATACTCTCTTGACCTGTACTTGCCCTTTGTTGTACTCTCTGCTATGCTTGGGGTTTCCTAGGAATTTGGATTTTAGACCCGGTAAGATATGCATTGTTTTTTATTTGTGGAGAAATACATTTATGATACATTATGTACATCATTATACAAGATTTATTGCTGGGTCTGTTCTGTTTGAAAGCACCCATATATAATTTGTATGCTATACTTACACAGCACTCCACAGGAATGTTGCCAGTGTCAGTAAATTAGTTGCAGTAACGTTTTTTTCTTTGGTCTTATTCTTGCTGTGGGTTTTTTTTCTTTTCCCAAGGTTTATACTAACCATTTACTAGAGAAACGCATTATCATTTATGGTTGTAAGTTATAGATGTTACAGGGGCAAAGACTCATCCTCCTTCTTCCACGTTGAATTCCAAATGCAATGAAGCACCTATCGTGTGTCAGCCATTCAGAGAGGACCAGGGCACAGTCTTGTCTGCCAGTTGGAAGAGATGAGATAGATAAACACCTTATATCTGTAAGATAAAGCAAAACGTGTAGGCTGTGAAAGAGAGACTGATAATGGCTCAAGGAAAGAAATCACTTGTCCAGACATTTGAGATTGACTGAGAGTCCATTTGGCAGAAAGGTTCCCTGTGTTGGTCTCACATCCTGCTGCTGCTTTTGTTCGGGAGGTGGTGCTGATCGAGAGAGAAGGGTGTGAAAGCAGCAGAGCGCTCAGCCACCCGTAGATACATTGCATTGTTGTCCTCCAGGTGCCAGGTGATTGGGAATGTCTACCCACCCCTGCAGATTGGTTCTCGAGGTAAATACTCCAATGGAAAACTTACAGAATTGATTTCTGAATTTTAGTAGTGACCTAGTTTTTAATACATTCAACTCCCTCCCCAACTTATTTTAATGATGTTAAAAATAATAATAAGGTTTACATACATTTAATCCTCATGTCAACTTTGTGAAGTAAATAGTATTTTATCCCCATTTGATACATAAGAAAACTAAGGTTATCTGACTTGTCCAGGATTACAGTTAAGGAGAGATCCAGCTAGGATGTGAACCTAGGCAGTCTGGTTCCAGAATCCATGTTCTTCAGTAAGCTCTGTTACAAAAGAATGTGAGCAGTATATGGCAAAATGGAATGGGGTTGGTTCTGATGGGAGGTGGGAAAGGACACATCCCCTGTCTCTTGGGTCTTGCCATAGCTAGGTGGCATGCCTGTCCCCTGTAGGACATAGTTGGCAGTGGAAATAGAACACGTCAGTAGGAATCCTTGCTCCTACTGTCCTTAGTAGTCCTCTCTGCGATGGTCACAGAGCGGGTTTGCATGTGTCTCACTGTCCAGTGCGCGTGGCTCTGCAGAAAAGATGGGATTGGTCTAGCGCTGGGTGGAGAGTGTGGTTTTGGCCTGTTTCATGCAGCACTGTGACGCATGCTTTTGTCTGTCTTCAGTGTAATAGTTTGGTTTAAGAAATATTTATGGAAACAATTTTCAGATGCCATTAATTGGAAAAAGAAGGTGATATAATAAAACTTGACTTTGGATTCCAGGTGCATACAGCTTCCCTGACTATTCACTCTGATGCAAGTGTGATTGGCCTGTGCATTTCAAGATGGAAAAACAGTAACAGAATTTTGACATTTGTTTATTTATTTTGTTACTAGGAACCCTAAGGAATCTACAATATGAATAATTCTCTGGAGAACACCATCTCCTTTGAAGAATATATCCGAGTAAAAGCGCGGTCTGTCCCACAACACAGGATGAAGGAATTTCTGGACTCACTAGCCTCTAAGGGGCCAGAAGCCCTTCAAGAGTTCCAGCAGACGGCTACCACTACCATGGTCTACCAGCAGGGTGGGAACTGCATTTACACAGACAGCACCGAAGTGGCCGGGTCATTGCTTGAACTGGCCTGTCCAGTCACCACCAGTGTTCAGCCACAGACCCAGCAAGAACAGCAGATCCAGGTTCAGCAGCCACAGCAGGTTCAGGTAAAAGGGCAGTGTTGAGGTGCATCCTATTGAAGAGACTTCATTTGCCACCATGGTTTGGGTTAGTAGGAGCATCACATCTGTATACAGTGTCAGAGGTTATTTTCACTCGGGAATACTCGGACTTTTTAAAACATTTTCTTCCACACAGAGACTTTCATATTTCATAGTTGATGCAGACTAAAAATATTTGCATCCACTGTAGACTGAAGACCACAGATATTTGCCGTTCGTGTTGGAGAATTGAACAGTATAGAAATTAGAGGTCGTCTGGGGCCGGATTTGGGTGTTACACAGCTGAGAGGGACTGAGGCTTCCCTTTGGTCTGTCACCCTGGGCAGGTCAAAAGCATAGGAGGGTTAGTCTTGGCTCATTACTAAAAGCATGATATTTGGAACTCGTTTTGAAATGGGAAGGCTGATATATTTTGGAGGTCTAGTTGTATGGTTCCCTGATTCAGGTCACCTGCAGGTGTGTAGGTCTGCACTTGCTATGTATAAGCCTCAAGAAATAATGCTGATTGATAGCAAACGTACTAAGAGAGGAAAAACTAACACAGTTGCTGAGATGGTAAAAGTTTTTGTCTTCAGGCGTTTTTCTCCTTTTTTTTAAGATTATTTATTTGTTTGTTTGTTTGTTTGTTTTTAGATGGGAAGGGAAGGAGAAAGAGAGGGAGAGATCCAACATCAGTGTGAGGTCGCATCTTGTGTGCCCCTACTGGGGACCTGGCCTGTGACCCAGGAATGTGCCCTGACTGGGAATCGACCAGGAATCAAACTGTCAACCTTTTGCCCTACAGGACGATGCCCATCATGGTCAGGGATGGAAAGATACTTTAAAAATTTTTCTAACAGTGTTGGCAAAAACAAATGCCATCAGAAACCTACCAAATCTTTGCCCGGGTCCAGTGGCTCAGGCAGAAGCATCGTCCCACACACCAGAAAGGTTTCAGATTCACTCCCGGTCAGGCATGTACCTAGGCTGCGGTTTGGTCCCCTGGCAGGGTGCATACAAGAGGCAAACCAGTTGGTGTTTCTCTTTCTCTCCCACCTTTTCCTCTCTCTCTAAAATCAGTAAACATATCCTCGAGTGAGGATTAAAACAAAACACAAAAAACCCCACTAAATCTGAGATGCCGATGAAAAACAGGAAGCAGACAGAGTTGGGTGACGGAGGAATTCATGTAGGAGAGAACTTTTAGGGAAGGTGGAGCAGTCCTCCAGGTGCCCCGGGCCAAAAAGTGAGGGACAGAAAGAGCCAGAGAGGTCCCCTGGGGCTGCCTTGACCCGTGGCTTGGGAATTGATTAAGGACTTTAAACACACACGTGTCTATACACATGATGGGTAAGTATTAGGTACGGGATGAAGGCAGCACTGCTGATGAGCATGGAAAGGACATGCTGTATGTTTCGGACTATAAGATGCCCTGCCGCCCCCTGCCCCCCGCCCCCAGGAAAATGCAGTGGCGACCCTGCTCCTGCCTCCTGAGACCCCACTCCACTGCCCCCCCCCCCCCCAGTGAGCCAGGTAAGCTACATTCAGACGGACTATAAGACACACCCCCTTTTCCTCCCAAATTTGGGGGTAGTGCTTCTTACAGTCCGAAGATACGGGTACTCCATTCAGTATAGTAAGGCAGTCTGCTCCTCTTTTGGACATAAAGTCAGACACTTCTCAGAATACGAATAATGTATGGGTGGTTTAAAGAGTTCACCTAAAAACCAAACCATTAAAAGACAGTATAGGAAATTTTTATAAATTCTTGATAGCTTTTCCCAATCTTTTTTACCCTGGAGGAATCTTTGAAATAATTTTCAAGTCTCAGGGAACCCCTGCATAAAAAATGATATTTACAGCTCATGGAATGTTAGTTTAATCAGCAAGTTAGACATTTAATAATTCAATAATAAATGTCAGTGCTCTTTTGATAATCATTTTTCTCTATGGCTGTACATTTTGGCAAATTAGGCTATTTTGTGATTCCCTTCCCCACACAGGTTATCAGTCTTAATTCAAGTTATTGGTATAAATAGAGGAAACCTTATTTTTCTCCTTTTAAAAAAAGATTTCCGCCCTGGCTGGTGTGGCTCAGTGGATTGAGTGATGGTCTGCAAACCAAAGGGTGGCTGGTTCGATTCCCAGTCAGGGCACGTGCCTGGGTTGCGGGCCACATCCCCAGTAGGGGGCACTTGAGAGGCAACCACACAGTGATGTTTTTCTCCTTCTCTTCTCTATCTCTAAAAAGAAAATAAATAAAATCTGTATAAAAAATAAAATAATAAAAATAATAAATTGGAATTCTCAGTACCCCTCCTTGGGTTCAATAATTTGCCAGAACAGCTCACAGAACTCAGGGAAACACATGTATTGGTTTATTGTAGAATAAAGGATAGAGCTAAATAGTGCGAGGTTCTGAAAACTAAAGCACAGGAGTGGGGGTGCACCACCTTCCCAGCACACAGATATGTTCACCAATCCAGGAGCTCCCAGAACCCCATACTTGTGGTATTTTTATGGAGGCTGAATCACACAGGTATGATTGACTGATAACCCAGTTTTTAGCCCCTCTTCCCTTTCTACAGAATGGGTGATGGGGGTTTCAAGTACCAAGCTTCCAATCATGGTTTGGTCTTTCTGGTGACCAGCAGCCATCCAGGAGTCTACTGAAAGTTGCCTCTTTAGAACACAAAATGCTCCTAGTGCCTTTATTATTACTTAGGAAATTACAAAGGTTTTAGGATCTCTAGCCCGGAATCAGAGACAATGACCAAAATATATATTGGTTATATCACAGAATCACAGCGTACGTTTGTTCGAGGTAGGGAGGCACTTTCTGAAGGCAGAAGGAAGAGTTTCCATGTTAATGCCCTCGCAGTGTGTAGAATTCTAGGAGAAAAGCCCAAGTTTCCTGTTGCTGGTAGGTCTGCCTCAGCTAAGTGAAGGGTGTTCATTTGGAACTTGCATTTCAAGAGCCCTCCTGAGTTGATTACTCCTAAAGCATCCGCATGGAGTCAAGTGTGTGTGCCAGAGGGAAGGCCTCTGGTGGTGAGTCCCAGGGGTTGGGTTTTGCTCAGCACCCATGGGATTGCTTGTTTCTTCTCTGCCCTTCCACAGGGCAGGAACCGAGGCTTCACATAAGGGTGGCCGGCCAGTCTGGGCTATTTAAGTGAAGGATGCTTTGGAAAAGGGGACTTCTTAGCATTTTTTTTGTTGTTGTTGTTGTTGCTAGAAGTAAACATCTCAAAGCTTTAGTGGCTTAAAGTGCCACTCTTCCTCACTTGTCATCCCAGCCTTCACGTCTCTTCCTCCTTTCCTTCTTGCCGTCACACATTCCCTCCCTGCTGGGACGGTTCCGAACCCCTCGCGGGGTAGACCTGCTGCGTGAGAAGTGAGGTGATCGGGAGCCAGGCCTGGCCCTTAGACGAACGTGAGTTTCTTCTGCTTCTGCTACATTAGACATGCCTGCCATCTGAGGCAGCTGTCTTAACCACGTTGAGTCCATTAGCTACGTCATGGGAATAAAAGAATTTAGGTATTGTAGTTACTTTGGAGATTACATAAATTACCAAGTCCTAAGCATACTGCTTGGCACATAGTAAGCGCTCAGTAAGTAAATAAAAACTGCTGCTGCTGTTTCCTTCCTTCTCTTCCCGTTAGTGTCATTCCTACCTAGGCCCCAGGTTGCTTCTTAGACATTTGAAAAGTATCCAGACAAGCGTTTACTTATAAACAAGTATTCCCAGTTTGCTATTTTTACCCTTTTGTTAAAAAATATAATTTTTTAAAAGATTTGTTATTGTTGTTATTCTGTTAACAGTTGTCCCAATTCTTCCCCTTTGCCCTCCTCCGCGCTTCCTGCCGCCCACAGTCAATTTCCTTAAAAGACGTATAATGTTAGAGATACAATTCAGATCTCTGGTATCCCTCTATACGACCCCCTCTCCTACCTTAAATATGATCTCAAAAGTTTTCAACTTGGTATGGTATTGAATATTTTCTGTATCCACCTGGGTTTCAATTTTTAGTTACAAATATCAGGCCACATATTTCCTCCTCTCCTGTCATTTAGTCAGAAAAAGGATTGACTAAAGGACAGTCGTTAGCTCAGGGAATTTGCGGGAGGGCCAGAGGACGGGTCTGGGAGGCTTGCTAGCCTGCTCTGGCCGAGATCTTAGCCACAGCACTGGGCACAGGTTCTCACCCTACCACGGTGTTTCGTTGGGATGTTTGCCATCCTGCTCTGTTTATGCCCCACTCTTCCGCTCTCACCAGGGAAATGAAGGCTGTGGTTCCCGTTGCTCCTGTCTCAGGCCAAGTGTCATGCTGTGTGTCTAATTTGAGAATCCCTGGTCTCGAGCCTGCACTCCATCCACAGTGACTCTGCCTTGGGGAGGCAGCGCTCACAGTATGGTGTGTTCTGCAGACCTGCGCTTGTGGCCAAGACCAGGATTAAAACAAGCTATTCTCTCACAGCCTGACCATCACTTTGGACTGATGGACCTTTTTTTTTTTAAGATTTTATTTATTTTTAGAGAGAGAGGGGAAGAGAAGGAGACAGAGAGGGAGAGAAACATTGTTCAAGAGAGAAGCAGTTGCCTCTCTCGTGCCCCCAGCCAGGTACCTGGCCCGCAAGCCAGGCACGAGCCCTGATCAGTAATTGAACTGGGTGACCCTTTGGTTTGCAGGCCGGCACTCAGTCCACTGAGCCACACCAGCTTGGGCAGATTCCAATTTCTTCACATCCTTACCAACACTTGTTATTTGTCTTTTTAAAAACTATTTATTTTTTAGAGAGGGGGAGGAAGGGAAGGAGAGAAACATTGACGTAAGAGAGAAACATCAATCTTTTGGTTGCCTCTTGCACGTGCCCTGACCGGGGACCACACCTGCACCCCAGGCATGTGCCCCCAACCTTTCATTTTGCAGGGTGTCACCCAGCCAGCTGAGCCACACTGGTCATGTCCCGACACCGTCCTTGGTTGTCTTCTGTGATACGGCTCCTTGTGTTGTGAATAAGCATAATTCCTCATCTGCCTTTTTGTTTTCCTCTTCCCCAATTCCCACCTGTGTTGAAAGTAATTTAGATGTGTGTGTCTAATGGAGGAAAAAATCTTTCCTTGTTTGTTTTGAAATTAAAAATTTTTTTATAAGTTTATTTGAGCCAAATGGTGACATAGCGACAGGAAACAGGATCTCAAATGCTTCTAGATTCCTTCTTTCAAGAGTACATACTAGGCATAGCGTCTTTGTGCTGTTCTGTATGCTGAAGCTGTTCTGTTCTGCTATTAAGCAGTAAGATGAGTTGCATTATCAGAAATGTGAGATCCAGGATGTAGTCACCTTCCTTAGATTAGGTTATCAGGAATCTTGTGGGGTTTTCAATGACCTCTCTATTAAAACAAACATGTCTTAAATAAGCACTCTAACAACACAAACACAAAACAGAAACACATTTATCTATGCAGAGAACAGATTTGTGGTTACCGGAGGCAAAAGGGCGAAGTGGGCGAGAGCACCCAATGGCGCGTGAGAGAGGGGAACTAGACGTGAGTAGTTGTCCCTCTATAGTGTGTACAGATGGCGGATTACAGTGTTATTTACCAGAAACTTCCAGAGCGTTATAACCAATTGACCTCAGATTTATTTTAAAGGGGCACTCTAGGGAGTCTTTCAACAGTGCCTCCATTTTAGTAGCAAAGCGGGAGACACTTCCAAAAGAGATTTCAAATGTTTTGCCTCTGGGATGGATGGGTGGATGTGGAAGAAGGTATTGGGGGGATAAACAGTGATGGAAAAAATAAGTTAAAAAAAAGTTTTCTCTCTGCTGTGTGTTGCACTAGCTGTCTGTGCTGGGAGTGCTTCTGACCCTGAGGTTGGCAGTTGAATGCCTGTGGAAGGAACACACCTGTTGTTCCGACCTTTGAGGACAGTGGTCCCCACACTTCAGTGCTCTCCCCATGGGTAAACTATTTTTTGAACATCCAAGTAAATACACATTTCTAAATTACACATTCGTATTACTGTGCCAATAAACAAAACCAAAGGAGGTCACATTTTTAAAGAAGAATGGAAGATGAGCAAAAGGTCTGGTATTTCCTTCATAGACCCCAGTTGATAGTTGTTGCTCTTAGGCGGGTACGTGTCACTCTGAATGCAGTGTGATGCTGGCGGACTTTGCACATGGTGTTGGGGATTGTGTCTTCCTCAGAAGCCGCGGGGGTGGCAGCCCTCCCTCACACTACCGAGGGTCTGCTGCCCGAGAGAGAGTTTCTTCCCTTTAGGGCTGGGTTGTCAGTGCTGCCTGGTTCGCTCACTGATGCATCTTGTTGCTGCAGGTACAGGTGCAGGTCCAGCAGTCTCCGCAGCAGGTCTCGGCTCAGCAGCTCTCCCCACAGCTTACCGTTCACCAGCCTGCCGAGCAGCCCTTCCAGGTGCAGGTGCAGATCCAAGGCCAAGCGCCACAGCCGGCGGCCCCTTCCATCCAGACCCCATCTCTGCAGAGCCCCAGCCCCTCGCAGCTGCAGGCGGCGCAGATCCAGGTGCAGCACGTGCAGGCGGCCCAGCAGATCCAAGCTGCGGAGATCCCGGAGGAGCACATCCCCCATCAGCAGATCCAGGCGCAGTTGGTGGCTGGCCAGTCTCTTGCTGGGGGTCAGCAGATCCAAATCCAGACTGTGGGTGCCCTTTCTCCACCACCGTCTCAGCAGGGCTCACCTCGGGAAGGGGAGCGACGGGTTGGCACAGCCAGTGTTCTCCAGCCAGTGAAGAAGCGCAAAGTGGACATGCCCATCACTGTGTCCTATGCCATCTCAGGGCAGCCAGTGGCCACTGTGCTGGCCATTCCACAGGGCCAGCAGCAGAGTTACGTCTCTTTGAGGCCAGACTTACTGACAGTGGACAGTGCCCACCTGTACAGTGCCACTGGGACCATTACTAGCCCTACAGGAGAAACCTGGACCATCCCTGTTTACTCTGCCCAGCCCCGGGGAGATCCTCAGCAGCAGAGCATTACGCACATCGCCATTCCCCAAGAAGCCTACAACGCAGTTCACGTCAGTGGCTCACCCACGGCCTTGGCAGCTGTAAAGCTGGAGGATGACAAGGAGAAGATGGTGGGCACCACGTCTGTAGTGAAAAACTCCCATGAAGAGGTAGTGCAGACCCTTGCAAACTCTCTCTTTCCAGCACAGTTCATGAATGGCAACATCCACATTCCAGTGGCTGTGCAGGCTGTGGCAGGCACATACCAGAATACAGCTCAGACTGTCCATATATGGGACCCTCAGCAGCAGCCACAGCAACAGACTCCCCAGGAACAGACGCCCCCGCCGCCTCCGCCACCGCAGCAACAGCAGCAACAGCAGCAGCTCCAGGTTACTTGTTCAGTAAGTGAGACTTATCTCTGGGGCACTCTGCTCCCTGAGGACCCAGTGCAACACGGAACTTGCCTGGCAACCTCCGGCACCCCTGGTTGTTTATGCAATGATGTTAGTCTTGCTGTTGTATAGTATTTAAGATTTCTGTTGGGGTGGGGCTGGGAGACAAAAGCAGCAGGTGAAGCTGTGCAACAGGCAGAAGTGCTATCCTGGTACCTGGAGGTAAATAAAATGGACCACTAACTGCTTTGGAGGTTGGCTGGGGTGCTTCATTGTTATCTCTTTTTAGGAAGGGTAAAATTCTGGTTAGAGACTAATGGGACATTCCTAGTGTTATCCTAGTCCCAGGGGCTACTTTTTGCATCGCAAATGAAAGGATCTCGTGGAACCCCAGTAATAGCTTAACACAGATGCTGAACTCAGCTCAGTGGAGAGGACTTGAAATTGTTTCTTCTTTTGTTGTCATCTGTGGACACAGTGGAGGTGAATGAGAAGATCTAAAACACCTCCTCGTTGGCCTACCACTTTTAGGAGTCTTAAGCCTCCTATGTAGTGGGATTTCCCAAAGAGGTTTTGTTGTTGTTTTTTTTTTTAATTGATTTTTAGAGAGATGAAGGGAGAGAAAACAAATACATCAATTTGTTGTTCCACTTATTTACGCAGTCATAGGTTGATTCTTATATGTGCCCTGGCTGGGGATTGAACCCACAACCTTGGAATATTGGGATGATGCTCTGACGGGCTGTGCTACCCAGCCAGTGTTCCTTAAAAAGAGTCCAGATCAGCCTCAGTTAGTTGAATTTTCTGTCATGGCAGCTATATTGAGAAAAAATGTTAAAGACTTTTATTTTAAATAATGTAGATTCACAGAAAAGTAGCAAAAATAGAACTCTGTTGAAATTTAGCTTTAAAATTATTTAGCTTTTATCTTTTCTAATTGTTAATCTTCTTAAAGCTATTATCTTTTAAGACTATTAGTAAACTTCCTGGTCCCTTGTCAAGCAGATCTTTAGAGTGGATATAAGGCCTCTGGTCTCCTGGACACACTGAAGACTGTATCCTCGGAGGGCAGGGAGGGGCCCCTGGGAAGGCTGGGAAGGGAGCTGGCACAGACAAGGTGCTGGCAGACCAGGGACCTCACTCAGAAACGCAGGCTGTAAATGATTTTGATTAGGCAATAGCTGGCCGAGTTGTTACATAAAGGCAACAGTACATTATTTTAGGTGACTTTGTTAAGGAACTGTTAAATGTCTGGGTGTCGGGCCTAGTGGTAGAACAAGACAGAGTGATTGTTGCAGGCAGCTCGTAGTCTGGTTATAAGGCAGCACAATCAGGGTGCACTGTGTGCCACACACGCCAGGAAAAACGGGGCATTCAGAAATTCTGGGTTTAAAAGTCAGCAGAGGCATCTTTGTGGGAAAAGGGGTGTACGCTTTCATGCTTATAGCGTGCATTGACAAAAGAATGGAGGAGCGTGAGCACAGAGCCAGGGATGGAAGGAAGAGACATGGCTTAAGGCAACCTGAGAGGGGCCTGTGAGAGAGGAGGGAGTGGGGGGCAGCAGCGTTGTCTTCCCAAAGCAGAGGGGTGCTCTTAGTCTGGTGATCCGTGGTGGGCAGTTTTTCCAGAATCCGAAGAGTCCTGATAAGATGAAGGATCAAGAGCCAGTGTGTAGAATTGACTGCACGGAAGAGGGACCTGCCAGGAGCCCTGTGGCGGGGTTCTGTACTCAGCTTCTGCTGAGTACAGGCACGGGGCTCATCAGGCCTCTTCTCGGCTCTCCTGGGTCTGATGTGCAGTTTGCAGGTCAGGGCTCTTTGTGCTCATTGGTCTCTGAATAAGTTGTATATTTGGGCCCTTCGGCAGGAGGTCTTCTCTGTGGTCTTCTTGTGTAGTGGATCCATGTTCTTCAGTGCTATGTCTCCTTTAGGGAAATCTTAATAGGGATTTATCAAATATTACTACCAGAAAAAGAAAAATTGGGAAGAATGACCATCATGTAGGTAGGAAAGATGAGTTTGTCCATTCGCGCTACAAACATTCCTCTGCCCCCCTCTATCAGGCTCTGCGCGAGGCCACAGAGATGAGTAAGGCAGTCTGCCCTTAGAGCACTCACAGCCCGTGGGAAGAGAATTTTGCGGTGATGTGAGTTCACCCTAGGGACAGCTGATGACGGTGTGTGATGGTGTTGTTACCCTTCACCTGGCATACCCTTTAGGAAAGCTCTCATTGCTTGTCTTTATTTTTTTATTTTATTATATGTATTTTTCTAGAGAGGGAAAAGGAGTGAGAGAGGGAGAGAAACACCAATGTGTGGTTGCTTCTCGAGCTCCCCCTACTGGGGACCTAGCCCCCAACCCAGGCATGTGGCCCTGTCTGGGAATTGAACTGGAGACCCCTTGGTTCACAGGTTGGTGCTCAATCCACTGAGCCACACCAGCCAGGACTCATTGCCTGTCTTTAAAACCAAACTTACGGTGAAACATCCTTCTCTTGACCTCTCATCCACCTCCATTAGTTGCCTCGTTTCTCTGCTCTACATTATTCCCAGAGTTCTCAAAAGGATTATCTGTGCAAGCTAACTCCACTTGCTAACCCGTTTTCAAAACACAACTGTGCCTGCTCTTGTGAACTGAGGTCAGCAGTGCCCAGATCCAATACACGTATCTGTTTTCAGTCTTAGCAGCACACAACACAGCCTTCTCGAAACTCCTTTGGCTTTTCGTATTATTACACACTCCTGCTTTTTCCCCTTCTCCATGGATTCTTTTAAAAAATTATTTACTATCTTTAGAGAGAGGAGAAAGGAGAAGGGGAGAAACATCAGTGTGAGAAACATTGATCAGCTGTCTCTCACATGCACTCTGATGGGGGTCAAACCTGCAACCCAGGCATGTGCCCTGACCAGGAATTGAACCAGCGACCTTTTCACTTTTCGGGAAGACATCCAACCAACTGAGCCACACCAGTCTGGGCCCATTGATCCTTTGCCTTTCTTGGGAGATGGCTGGTGCCTCCTCCTCCATCTGAACCACACATGTTGGTATTGCTCAGAGCACAGTACTAGCCCTCCTTTCTCCTTCAGGAATTTCTGTCCTTTGGCATGGCTTTGTTTAACAGCCTCTAAAAATGGGTGTACAGCCTTTTGGCGTCTCTGAGCCACACTGGAGGTGGAGTTGTCTTGGGCCACACATTAAAGACACAAACACTAATGAAAACCGATGAGCAAAAAAAAAGTTTTAAGTAAATTTAAATTTTGTGTTGGGCCGTATCTGTAGCCATCGTGGGCCGCATGCGGCATACCTCTGTGATGGTGCTGCTGCTAGAGATGCTCAATGATGCTGTCGGCCAACATTGTTCCCCATGGTACATATGTTAACTCATTTAATTCTCACACCAACCTTACAAGGTATATACTGCCATGTCCATTTTACAAAAGAAGAAACTGAGGCACAGATGAATTAAACAGCAAGGCCAAAGCCACCATTAGTGAGTTGCAGAGTTGGGAGTCAGCCCCAGACAGACAGGCGTGCAGCCAGCCCATCTTAAGCACTGTGCTGCACAGCTGATCTGACACACAGGTCTTGTATCTAGACCATGCCTTTCCCTTTAGGACCCTGATACACATTCAGCAGCTGCTTACTTCCCTGGATTTAATTGAAGATTAATCTCAGCTCTTCATTAACAACAACTCTGCCACTACTGTAAACTTCCCCTCCTTAGGAAGTGGTAGCATCAGCTGGCTACCCATTAGTTTAAGCCAGAAACCCAGGAGTCATCCTTGGTCTGCTTTCCCTTAACCCCATAGCCTGCTCATCAGCAAGCTGCATTGGTTATACCACCAAACTTCTCAGACTCTCTGAAATGATCTTCACTGCCACTGTGCTAGTCTAGGTGACCAGCGCCTGCTTCCACTTTTACTTTTCATTCCAATCTCTATAGATGAGCAAGAATCTTTTTTTTTTTTTAACGTAAGATCATGTCACTTCCCAGCTTAAACTTTCCAAGGGCTCCATTATAAATAGTAAAAACAAAACAAAAAAACCCCCCACTGCATCACAGTATACAAGACCCTACTTACATCAATAGTTTTTAACCTTGGCGGGGATCATTACTACCCCTACCCACTGAGAGACATTTGGACACGTGTGGAAGAATTTTGGTTGTCAGGGTTCCTGGGAGTGTTACATTCAGTGGGTGGAGGTGCACACTGGAGGGGGCCTGACCAGAAAGCCAGCAGACAAGCGCTGCCCCACCTACCTACCCAGTCAGACGCCGAGATTTTCAGCTTGCGTAGATGGTGTTGTCATTGAACAAGGCAGGGAGGGTACCCGGAGGAGAGTACAGTAGTTCTGGATGTGGAAGGGATGGGTTCTCTCAGTAGATGTCAGTTCGAGGTGGCTGTGAGTTGCCCCATTAGAGATGCACAGTACCCACTGGGCATGTTAAGGGGAAGCGTAGTTAGCATAGTTGGAGGCACAGAGTTAGCAGTCCCTTTCCCGGATGTGGAAATCCAAACTGGGAGAGTGAGTGGAGACTCAGCAAGGAGAGCAGGAGCTAAACTAAGAAGTGTGTCTCCCGTGGAGCTCCAGGGTTGACAGACGTTTAAGGGCCTGGCACTGGGATTTGCTTTATCTGCTTGTTTAATAATGTGTGTTATCATAGCTAGTGTGGTAGTTTTTATTTTTATTTGTTGATAGCAAATTTATGTGTCACGGAAAAATTTTTTTGCTTTCAACTTGAATGATTTGACACTCCTCAGCCCTGGAAGGGAGAATTGCTCAAGGAAACTTGTTTAGAATGGGGACAGGTGTGTGAGACCCAAGAACCTGTGCTTGGTTTGTGTTGGTGTCTGTCCCACCTCATGGGGATTGTGATTCAGACTCATGGACGTACTCTGCCCCTTTGCATGGCTTGCATGTCAGCCCATTGAGGATGGGACTGCTTTTCCCGTGGAGGCAGGAAGCTAGAGCAGTGCCCCTGGTCTTCAGAAAATGTCCTTACGAGCACTGTTAACGAGATGGAACATGAAAAAAATAGAACCTTATGTATAGCTAGAGAAGCTGTACACATCCTAAAGTCTTCCCCCCTTACATCACAGTGGCAGGGAGAGGGACAGGACTTTGTTGTATTTTTATTTCTCTAAACATGATTCTTAACTGTGGTTTGTCTTCAGAATAACCTGGGGAGCTTCTGAAAACACTGATAGGCCCTGGCTGGGTGGCTTTGCTGGTTAAAACATTGTTCTATGCACCAAAAGGTTGCGGGTTCGATTCCCAGTCAGGGCACATAACTAGTTTGCAGTTTTGGTCCCTGGCCAGGGTGCATACAGGAGGCAACCTATCATTGTTTCTCTCTACCCCCTTCTTCTCTTGCTAACAATTAATGAATATTTCCTTAGGTGAGGATTTAAAAAAATAATAATCATTAAAAAATAAAAATAGTGATAACAACAAGCCTGTCACCTTAGACAAAGTAAATCAGAAACTCTGGGGATTCAGGCTTGGGCATGTAAGTATTTTTTAAAAGCAGTCTAGATGATTTTAAGGTGCATCCAAGATTAACGGTCATTGCCCTGGACACTCGGTACTCAAAGTGGGATCTGCCGACCAACTCCCTCACTTGGAAGCTTATTACAATAGAAATTCAGAGCCCTGGCTGGTATGGGTCAGTTGGTTGAAGCATCATCCTCAAAACCTGGAATGTTGCAGGTTCAATCCCCAGCATAAGGAGGCAGCCACCTGATGCTTCTCTCTCACATTGATGTTTCTACCTCCCTCTTCCTCTGTCTCTAAAAGTAATGCAAAAGTGTCCTTGGGTGTGGATATATACTTAAAAAAAAAAAAGGAAAGAAATACAGAATCTCAAGTCCCGCCAAGACTTTTTAATTTGAGTCTACACTTTAATAAAATGCCCAAGTGATTTGTTTGCTTATTATAATTGGACATGCAGTGCTTTGGGCTAGTAATATTTGATCAGTGACTAAACATTAGAATTGCCTTTTGACATATGAAGGTTATTTGTCTTTTTTAAGATTTTATTTATTCGTTCCTAGAGCAAGGGGAAAGGAAGGAGAAAGGGAGAGAAACATTGGTGTGTGAGAGAAAAAATTGATCAGTTGACTCTTGCATGACCCCAGCCAGGGGACCTGGCCCACAACCCAGGCACGCGTCCTAACTGGGAATCAAACTGGCAACCTTTTAGTTTACAGGCCAGTGCTCAACCCACTGAGCCACACCAGCCAGGGCAACATGCAAAAGTTTTAAAAAGACTCATCATGCCTCTTTAAAAAAAGATTGTAAGGTGGATTGCAGATATTGGTGTTTTTAAATCAGATTCAAAAGTGCTGAGAATTGCTGTATTAGTCTTGGGCTATCCCTGGGATAAGGAGTAGAATTTCAAAGATTCTTGAAAATAGGACAATAAGGAGAAGAGAATTTTTTTTTATTAAAAGAACTACAAGTAATGTTTTTTTGGCAGTTTTGCTAAACAAAAGGCTCGAAAGAAAAGAGTATTGACACATTTTGATGGTTTCTCTCTTGTAGGCTCAAACTGTTCAGGTTGCTGAAGTTGAACCCCAGTCACAGCCACAGCCTTCTCCAGAACTTCTGCTTCCAAATTCCCTGAAGCCAGAAGAAGGGCTCGAAGTGTGGAAAAACTGGGCCCAGACCAAGAATGCTGAGCTAGAGAAGGATGCTCAGAACAGACTGGCGCCCATTGGGAGTGAGTGTGTGGGAGGGATCGGGGGTGGGCTCTGTCTAAAATACAGTAACCCCGGAGCAGGAGGAGGAGAGAATGGCAAGAGAGGGGTGTCTCTTGACCCTGGGGCCTGGGAGCTCCATCTGAAATAGTATGCTGAATTCAAGACAAGCAACAAGCAGGCCTGACCAGCTGCAGATGAGCGGGGTTTGTGGGATTTGTCCAAGGTCGGGCATTTTTCTACACATGTCTTTCTGGAGTTGACTTAGATCTGGGCAGAGCAACTTCTGGGAGGAGGTAGAGGCCAGTGAGTGCTGCAGACCCTTCTTCCTTAGTGTTACGATTGTATCTTCCTCACTCTATGGAGGGTGGGATTTTTTTTCTCTCATGTCATGGCCCTAATACAAATCTTCAGGGTATGTGAGGTGGGAGGATTGTGGGAAGGAAACCCTCGCTGTGTCAGAGCGTGTAGGGTTGTCGCCTCAGTGGGCCAGACACCGGCGCCCAGCCCCTGTGGGCCAGGTCTGCTCTGAGCCGTCCTTTCAGGGACATGAGTGACCAATAAAGAGAGAACTGTTTGCAGGGACACCTGTTCACCTTTGGGTTTGTGCTGTAGGGCGCCAGCTTCTGCGATTCCAGGAAGATCTCATCTCTTCTGCTGTGGCTGAGTTGAATTATGGGCTCTGTCTAATGACACGAGAGGCTCGAAATGGTGAAGGTGAACCCTATGACCCGGATGTACTCTACTATATTTTCCTGTGCATTCAGAAGGTAGGAAACAGCTTCCCAGGAACATGTTTGAGCTGTGTTCTCATCAGGTATTTACTGGATATTCAAATTAGTAAAATGACAAGCAAGGGGCTATAATTAGGAAATTCTCTTTCAAATGAATAATGAAGTTTTAAAAAAATATTTATGTTTAGAGAGAGGGGAATGGAGGGAGAAAGAGAAGGAGAGAAACATCAGTTGTGTGGTCACCTCTTGTTTGCCCCCAACTAGGGACCCCACCTGCAACCCAGGCACGTGCCCTGACTGTGAATCGAACGAGCAACCCTTTGGTTCACAGGCCAGTGCCCAATCCACTGAGCCACACCAGCTAGGGCTAATGTGGGTTTGTTTGTTTTTTTAATTGTAAAAGACCTACATGTTCACTTTAGAAAATAAGAAAATAAACATCATTCATAATCTTGCCTTATACAGGAACTCCTGTTAAAATATTTTGTATAGTAAAAAGAAACAAACGAGAGGAAAAAAATGCACCCAAAAATACTTGGTATATTACCTGAGAGTCTTTTTTTCCATTACTATTTATTCCCAATAACCCTCTCCTTTCCCCCTACCTCCAAGCACCACCCCATTGTCCATATTCTTGAGTCCTTTTTCCTTTTTGCTCAGTCCCTCCACCCCTGAACTTCTTCCCCCTGCTCTTTCACTGTCATCCTACTCTGTTTGAGTGTGTTTCTGTTTTGCTTGTTATTTCAGTGTGTTCATTAGATTCTGCATATGAGTGAAATCTGTCTTTCTCTGGCTGGCTTATTTTACTTAGCATAATGTTCTCTTAAGTTCGTCCATACTGTTGCAAAGTAAAATTTTCCTCTTTTGTATGGCCAGGTAGAATTCCATTGTGTAAATGTCCCATAGGTGTTTGATCCACACTTAGGCTGCTTCTGTACCTTGGCGATTGTAAATAACACTGCAATAAACATAGAGGTAGTTACGTTCTTTCGAGTTAGTGGTTTGAGCTCTTTCGGATATATTCCCAGAAGTAGTATCACTGGATCAAAAGGCAGATCCGTCTTTAATTTTTGGAGGTATCTCCATGCAGCTTCCCACAGTGGCAGCTTCCCACCGTGGCCGCCCTACCTGCACCCCCGTCAGCAGTGCGGAGGGTCCCCTGTCCTCACGTCCTCGCCAGCGCCTGTTTGTTGGGAGCCTTGTTTCATTTTCAAAAAAAAATTATGAAATACCTTATTAACACTTTCCTTTTTTGTTAAAGTAAACATGGTTTGCATAAAAGTAATTTATCCCAAAGTCTGCTGCTAACATACAGCTTATCTTCTTGTTCACTGCATTGAAACAAAATAATTATTTGAAGGAGCAGAGTTAGACTAGACAACTGTAGTTAGGTGTTCGGGACATCTATGGTGAAGCACCACAGAGGAACTCATCTGAGACTGGCGGTTTAGGAGAGCTGAGGTGGACTTCTCAGTGTTTGCACATTCTTGTGGAGCATCCCACAGCCGCCCTGGCTGGTGTGGCCCCGTGGACTGAGCGCTGGCCTGCGAACCAAGGGGTTGCTGGGTTGATTCCTGGTCTAGGGCACATGCCTGGGTTGCGGGCCAGGTCCCCGACGTGGGGGCATGCAGGAGGCAACTACACATTGATATTTCTCTCCCTCTTTCTCCCTCCCTTTCCCTCTCTAACATAAATGAATAAAGTCTTTTTTTAAAAAAGAAAGATAAGAAAATCCCATAGTAAGATGGTGGAAAAGCACATGCTGGTTGGCTCTCACCTTGTTGCCTGGTCTTGAGAAAAGTTCGCCTCCCAGTTTGTTCCTCTTTCTTCCCAGTCACTTGGGGCACTAGGTGAGTTGTTCACATGCTGTCTTGTTCCGTGCGCTCCGCAATCCTGGAAGACGGGCACAGTCATGTCCCTTTGCAGACAGGGGAACTGAGCCCCCAGAGCTAAAGGATTTGCACCACTTGCCTCAGAGCCTGCACCATGGTGTTTTTTTTTCTCTTTCTTTTTCTTTTTGGCTGCCATAAGACAGGGCCTTGCCTGGATGAAGTAGCATGTAGCATTCACAAAATCTGCCCCACTGACCCAATTCTTAAGAGTGTTGTAAGAGTTTGTTTATATGATCTGACGTGTACTGCAGAAATGTCCATCAAATGCTGGATGGCTTTGAGCTGGTATACAGGTTTATAAGGGTCGAATGGGTTAGCAGAGGTGATGGAACTGGCAAAAAAATGTTTATTTCCCCTGAAAGTCTTACTCAGGAGATCACGAACAACTTCTGCTGATTGTTTTTCTTTTAGTATCTTTTTGAAAATGGACGGGTTGATGACATTTTCTCCGATCTTTATTATGTTCGATTCACGGAGTGGCTACATGAAGTTTTGAAGGACGTTCAGCCCCGAGTCACTCCACTTGGTAAGAGTCTCCCTAGTCCTTGGATGTCTTTCCCACCTGGGTTTGAAGGGATGGCGGTGTGGCTGGCTGTGATACAGCATGGGGGTGAGGGTGCTGGGGTCCCAGGCTCTGGCACCGGCCTCTGTGCTGCTTGCCCTGATGTGGAAGGGGCCCTGCCCACCAGACACAGGGCCCAGCTGGTCCTGGTGTAGCCAGCACATGGGCAGTAAGAGTGTGGGGTAGTTACTCTTTCCTTTTCCTATTTAAATTTATTGATTCAAATTAGATTCATTTCCAAAGCTAAGAATTACGAACTATTTAATCTGTAGGTTACTCGTGTTATATATTGGAGGGTGTTTTTTTTTTAACATGTTTGAACAAATGTTTTACATATACAGGGTGGAGCAAAAGTAGGCTTATAGTTCCTACTTAAAATAATTCAATAATTAATAAATAATAATGCAAGAATAAACTCTTTCGCATACTCACAAGTGTAAACCTCCCTTTGCCCCATCCTGTATAGAATATAATTTTTGCTTTATCTATAGGTAACTTCCTGCTCAGAGTGTTATGTTTGAAAAAACATGAGTTTTACAGTAGAATGTCTGAGGTGTTTGTTTTTTAATAAACTTTATTTTTTAGAGCAGTTTTAGGCTTACAGAAAAATACAGCAAGAGGCACCGAGAATTGCCATATACCCCCTCACAGTGTTTCCCTATTATAATCTTGTGTTAGTGTAGTGTACTTACTGTCATTGATAAATCAGTGTTGGTACATTATTAATTAAAAACCTACAGTTTACATTAGAGTTCACTCCTTGCGTTGTACATTTACGGGTTTTGACAAGTGTATGACGGCGTATCATACATAAACTTCGCTGCCCTAGAATCCGTGTGTTCCTCCTGCCATCCCTGTCTCCCTCCCCCCGAATCCCGGGCGCTCTTTTTACTGTCTCCATAGTTTTTGACTTTTCCACAATGTCACATAGTTGGAATAATTTAGTATGTGGCCTTTTCAGATTTTTTTTCCACTTAGCAATATGCATTAATGTTCCTGCATGTCTTTTAAGTGGCTTGATAGCCCATTTCTTTTTATTGCTGATAATATTCCATTGTATGGTTGTACCACAATTTGTTTATCCACTCACCTATTGAAGAACTTCGAAGTTTTGGCAATTATGAATAAAGCTGCTGTAAACATTGTGTGCAGGTTTTTGGTGAAAGAAGAGGCAGATAGGTCAATGGAACAGAATAGGGAGCCCAGAAATAGAGCCACAAAAATAGAACCAACTTACCTTTGACAAAGGAGCAAAGGGAGTTCAAGGAAGAAAGGACATTTTCAACAAATGGTGCTGGAACAGTTGGACATCCACGTGCAAACAAACGAATCTAGACACAGACCTTACACCCTTCACAACACTAACTCAAGGTGAATCACTGACCTAAATGTAAAATGCAGAATTATAAAAGTCCTCCTACAGGTAACATAGGAGAAAATCCAGGTGACCTTGGTTTTGGTGATTACTTTTTATATACAACACCAAAAGCACTGTGGTGCATGAAAAAAAAATTGGTAAGTTGGATTTCATTAAAATGAAAAACTTCTGCTCTGTGAAAGACATAATTAAAATAAAAAACTGAGCCACAAACTGGGAGAAAATCTTTGCAAAATTATACCTGATGAAGAACTGGTATCCAAAATATACAAAGAACTCTACCACTCAGCAGTAAGAACGCAAAGAAACTGGTTAACAAATGGGCAAAAGATGGACAGATGCCTCACTGAAGATACACAGGGGGACGAGAAATATATGAAAAGATGCTTATTTTATGTCATCAGGAAATTGCAAATTTAAATAATAAAATACCACTATATAACTATTAGAATGGCTAAAATCCCAAACTGGCATCATCAAATGCTGGATGGGGGGCAACAATAACCTTCATTCATTGCTAGTGGGAATGCAAAGTGGTGCTACTTTGTAAGACAATTTGGCATTTTTGTACAAAAGTACACATTTTCTTACCTGTAATCCAGCAATCATGCTCCATTGCATTTGCGTCGAAAACAGTCTAGTTAACATCCGTCACCACTCATAGTTTGTTACTTAAATGCCCCCCCCCCAAATTATTGGTTAAATATTTTTCAGTGTCTACTTTATGCCAGGTAGTATTCCAGATGTATAAATAATGAGCTTACAGTCTAACAGAGACAGCAAATAATCAAATAGAGTAATTTATGGTTAGGGAAGTGCTTTGAAGACAAGGGACTGGGAAATGTTAAGGGCGCTGGCAGGGAGGCCTGCCTCTCTGAGGGGCTGTCATTAGAATGGAGACCTGAGTGAGTGAGTGAGAGCCTTGCCACGTGATTTGCAAAGTTTCAAGCTAAGTGTAGGCATGCAGAGTATGCTTTTTAAAACTTTTTATTGTGGAATTTTAAGCACGTATGAAAGAGAAAATTAATGACACTCCCATGTACCTGCTATTTATTTGTGGCAAATCTCATTTCACGTATGCACCACTTATCCCCTCCTGTGTTACAGTAAATCCCAGGCACTCTGCTCATAAACATTTTAATATGTATTATTGATATACACAATGCCATTATCATAAAGTTTTTAAAAGATGATTACAAATGTCATCAAAATCTCTATCCTCTGAATTTCTAATTGTCTCATAAATGTCATAATTTTGCTTGTCTGGGTCAGAGTGTCAATTCCACATGTGAAATTGCTGGTAAACCTTTTAATGTTTTGTCTCAATCTTTAGTTTCCTCCTTGATTTTTTTCTTGCAATTTATTTATGGAAGAAACTAGCCTTTTAAATTGTCAGAGTCTACATTTTGGTGATTATATCCCCATGGTGTAGTTTGACATACTCTTCTGTCTTCTGTACAGTTAATTGGGAGTTGCATATAAAGACTCAAATGATCAGGTGTGTGTGTGTGTGTGTGTGTGTGTGTGTGTGTGTGTGTGTCTTTTTGGCAAGGTTATGTAATACACAGGCTATTTTCATCAGATGCCTATAATGTCTGGATCCATTAATTTATTAGTTGTAAAATGCAGCACTCTAATGTTATTACTTCTTCATTATTAGCTGAAAAACAAACTTTTCCTTGTCAACTCTTTGAATTCCTGGCAGTACAAATTGTGTGGAAAAGGGAGGGGAGGGCTCGCTTCTGCTCCTTTGTTCAGCAGCGTCCACAGTCCCGGGCGAGGCTCGTTCCACCCCCGTCCCCTGGTGGCGCCCAGTTAGCTGGCGGGGTTTGCTTTTTGTCTTTTAGCAGTCATCGTGAGCTAATGAGTTTAAACATATTTAACGTGATTCAGTGTATTGCAGTTGTTAATTGTTTTTTTGTTTTTTTTTTTAATTTACTGATGCTCAAATTGTCCTATCTGTGGTCATTTGGAGCTTCTTTAAATGGGTCCTTAAATTCTTTTGATACAACCCTTTTTCTTTGATTTCTGGTTTTCAAAATGTTTCAGGCTCATCTTGGGCATTTTTTGTCCTGGTGTGGAGTCAGTCCATTCTCCATGGAGCCCGTGTTTTTTTTATTTGTTTGTTTTTGGGGTTTTTTTTGAGTGGCAAATGGTATTTCTGTGTGAAAGCAAAGTCTGGATGCTAGGTGTGCCTCTTTCTCCTGAATTGGTCATTGTTTCTAGGCCTTAAAGTGGGCAGAACCAAAAATATAAAAAACAAAATAGATCATTTTGATACTTGTAGTTCAGAACAGAACTACAAGGCTTTTACACGATAGCTGCATGTGTTATCACCCTTCTCCCACGCCAGGAGTTTAGTTTTCGTGCATTAAGTTTGTAGCGTTCAGGAGTGACGAAAGCCTCCGCCACTGTGGCTGAGCGGTGGAATGCCGTCCTGTAACCAGAGGTTGCGGTTTTCTTCCTAGTCTGGGGGCACACTCGATCCCTGGTCCAGGTGCCTACAGGAGACAAACAATCGATGTTTCTGCCTCTCTCTTTCTGTCTAAAAGCAACGAGAAAAATGTCCTCGGATGATGATTTTTAAAAAAGGAAGAAGCAGTGATTAAAGTTAGCAAAAGTGACAACAGGCGGCAGAGTGAATCCAGAGAAAACAGGGCATACCAGGGTATGCCTGGGACCACTCCTGGGCCCCGCCTTCCCTGAGGAAGGCTGTGTCCTGCCACTCACCTCCTGCAGACAGGGCTGAGAGCGGGAAAGCTTGTCTCATCGTCACTGGACCACCAGAGATAAGAATAGAGGTGGAGCGGCCCCAGAGAGATGGAAATGCACTACTGGAGTCTGAGCCAGCTTTGGCAAGAACAGAGGAGAGGAATGTATTGGACTTTCTGCCTCAAAAAGAGGCACTGTCACTGCCCGCCCGGAGAATTCCAAGACTCCTGCAGAAGGGCCGGTGTCCACTGCTGCTGGTTCACCAGGCCCACAGGGCCTGGGGTGCGCACACTTGCACGTTGACGGTTGAGTGAGCACATGAGGGGGGTTTAGTGATCCATCGACCAGCCTTTGTCCCTGCCCAGCTCTCAGTTCGCTCCCGGATCAGGGGCTTACAGGAAACCTACCTGCCTGGTGGGGGACAGCTGTAATAGTTCTGAGTGACAGTCTCCCCTTTCCCCCAAGGGGATGAGAATGGGTTCGCTTTCTAGAGATGGAAGGCATGACAGAAGGTTTAACAAGGGCAAATGGGTACGCGTGCCAGTGCTTCGGGCCCTGGACACCTTTGAAAATATGATGAGAGGTCCGTTTCCTCTTTCCAGAGGAGCGTGCATATAGGCTGAGTTTGGGTTATAATTTTGGGTGTTTCACTTCCCCTGAGGCCTATACCTTTTTGCCCGATGTTACCCTTGGATTAAAGGAAGAGCTGACACCAGGTAAGAGCAGTCATGTAAGGCATTGGTTCTCAAATCATGGTCTTAGGTAACTCGTTAGAAGTGCACATTATCACGTCCCACCCCAGAAATTTGTGTTGGGACCCAGCCTTCTGTGTTCTAACAAGCTTCCCAGGCGATTGCGCCACACCTGGAAGAGTTCTCTGGGTAAACCATGCGGTCCCAGGTGGTCCTGCTTGTGCCTCACACTCCCGTCCTGCACCTTTGAGGGAACGCCTGCCACCCTCTTGTTGTAGCAGTGCTCTATTCCTCCTAGGCTATGTCCTGCCCAGCCACGTGACTGAGGAGATGCTGTGGGAGTGCAAGCAGCTCGGGGCTCACTCCCCTTCCACCTTGCTGACCACCCTCATGTTCTTTAATACCAAGTAAGTGTTCTAGAGGCTCCATGCTTAGCCACTGCTGGCATCTGCCCAGTGAAGAGGGTGGAAACTATCCAGACTTCTGAATTCCTTTGACAAACATTTGAGAGCCTTGGGGCTACTGAAAGCCCTCAGCCCCACGTGGCTGCATTTTGCGTGGTGACCTGTGAAGCAGATAGCCTTGTCAGACCCTGCCATCATTCTTGGTGGGGCTTCTCCACTGGACATTGTGTTTGGGCGTGGGCCTGCCCAAATCCTGGGAGTGTGGGCACTGGCTCCTCTAAAGCACTGATGGCAGAGGGTGAATCGTGGTCTCCTCCTGGCACCCCTCCCTTTGCCTTGCTTTCACTTGCGGTGCAGGTACTTCCTTTTGAAGACAGTGGACCAGCACATGAAGCTGGCCTTCTCCAAGGTCTTGCGACAGACGAAGAAGAACCCCTCCAATCCTAAAGATAAAAGCACGAGTATTCGGTACCTGAAGGCACTTGGCATACACCAGACTGGCCAGAAAGGTACGGGAAGGAGGCAGGGGCCCCGAAACAGTGCTGTTTGTCCCGTCGTGTCCTTGTTCCTGAGGGGCTAGTGGTGAGTGTAGGGTTGGGACTTGCTGGCTAGGAATTCTCCTTTCCTTTACCCTCAGCCGGAAACTTCAAACTCTTCAAGAAGCAGAGATGCCCCGGAAGAGATAGCTCCCTTTTCCTTTCACAGTCACTGCCCATGCCTCACACCCTTTCCTCTCCCAATATGTTTAGTTAGGATGGCTGGAAGCCTAAGGTTCGAGATCTGGGCCTGAGCTAAGGCAGCCTGGGGCCATGTCTGTGGTGGTGAGGGTGTGTTTTATAGTTACAGATGACATGTATGCAGAACAGACGGAAAATCCAGAGAATCCACTGAGATGTCCCATCAAGCTCTACGATTTCTACCTCTTTAAATGGTGAGGAGGCTTTATTCTGAGTGGGTGAGCGTGCGTGCGTGCTTGTGTGCACAGGCATTCTCTAGTGCCCGACAGTAAAAACACCCTTCCAGAAACAAAGTACATAAGCAACCTTAATGCTTTCCCCAAGTTACATGATGTGCCTGGCACTGTGATGTAAAAGGGGTCCCTGCTCCCTGGTGGTCCCCTTTCCTGGAGAGGGGATGAAGGTGGAAGAAGGAGGCAGGTACAGAGAGGCTGCCTCCATCACATACTGAGCATCTCCTTGGGCTTGACCTTTGCTCACTACCGCCATCAATCTAAGGGGGTGCTCCTTTCCCTGGCTTTCGTTCTCCTTTGTGCCTGAAGTTTGGCTCTCATCTTCACAGCAGTACCTGAATGAGCTTTCTACGTTGCAGGTCTTACCATGTTACTTAAACTAAAACCTTCCGTGGTTTTCTTTTACTCTGCAAAGACAGTAATCCTAATATGGCCTTGTTAGGCCTTTCCTTCACTCCCTGTTGCCAACCTCATGTCCATATTACTCTTTACACTGGCTCCTCTCCACTTGAGGGCACATGCTTTCCCTACCTCAAGGCCTCAGCAGACTTTCTTCCCTGTTGGGCAACCCTCATGCCACCCCACCCCTACCCATTTGGCAGTTAGCTTCTATTCATCCGTGTTCTCAAACACAGCTTTGTCAGGAAAGCATTTTCATACTCCCTCCCTATTTCCTCGGGCTGTTTCCCTCTGTTGTACCTGCAACTGTTGGTCATTTTGTGTGTATTTGTGTAACTGTGTAATTACTGTCTGCTTCTCCCCTTATTTGTAAACTCCAGGAAGTAGAGACTGTTGGGTCTTGCTCATTTCTCTAACATCAACACCTAATGCAGGGCTAGGACACAGTAGCCCTTAGATAAACCTTGAGAGATTGGCATGTGTTAAGTATTTAAGAAAGGTGCAGCATAGCATTGAGGGGTTTGGGGGGTCAGCCCAGGTAAGGGCCCAGTCCCTCCGGTAGAATTGAAGGATCATCAGTGGATTGGTTAAAGGAAACAACTTGAGCAAAGACTTGGAGACAGACCTGGGCAGAGGTTGGTTCCAAGTGGGATATATATGCCTGGACTCAAGCAGATGAGCCCTCCGAGCCCTGGGCAGCCGGGCAGCCAGAGGGATCAGCTGGCATTGTGTGCGGGAGGTGCAGGAGAGAGGCAGCCTGTCTTTGGCATGTGAGGTAGTAGTATGTGTTGAGTGCATGGGATTCAGCACCGTAACTTCCAGGGCTTTTGCGTCCCAACTTTGGCAGGCATCTGTCTGGGACGTTCAGGTGGGAGGATTGAGATTGTGGTTTTAACCAGCTTTTACTGACATTCTTCAGTCCCCAGAGTGTGAAAGGCCGGAATGACACCTTTTACCTGACACCTGAGCCAGTGGTGGCCCCCAACAGTCCAATCTGGTACTCGGTCCAGCCTATCAGCAGAGAGCAGATGGGACAGATGCTGACTCGGATCCTGGTGATACGAGAAATTCAGGAGGCCATTGCAGTGGCCAGCGCCAGCACCATTCACTGAGATCCGTTAGCCGTGGTGCAAGGAAGAGCATCCAGGAAAACATGGACTGACTTTCACACTAAAGAAGAGGCCTCCATTTTTTCTTTTCCTTTTTTATTGGTGTAGTTATGAAGCCGTTGGGACTGCTCCTGTTTAAAATATTAAAAGGAAACTTTGGCCCCTGTGCATCTTCGTAAATCTGCTGTGGCAGACTCCTCGGCCCATGGGGGCTCTGGGTTTCCTGAGAGCCAGGCGTCCTGGAAAGTTGCTGGCTGACTTTTTCCCCTTAGTCTGGGGCCTGGGGAAAGGGCTTGGACTGTTAGGAGAAATGTGGCCTACTCCCTTCCCCCAGAAAGATGGAATTGATGATGGATGGACCCTCCGGGGAATCTCCAGCTGGCTCCCGCTCTGACTGGCCAACTGCTGACCACAGAGGAGTGGTCTTTTCTTTCATGCTCAGACATAAACCTAGCATCTTAATGGAAGGAAAATGAGGGGGACTTCAATTATGATTTATTAAAGACAATTTCTATTACACCTTCCTTTATGACAAGTGACATTTTAGATGTTAAAGTAAAAACTGTACCATGGCTTTTTGGCCTAACATTGAGGCCTTAAACTGAGGCTCCTGTGCCTGATGGAATTCTTGTAACATACACTTGTGTATCATATAAAGATACCACTCTGTTTCTCTTATGTATTCTTAATCTAGTTGTTTATTAAGAATGACAAGCACGTCTTTTCAATATGCTAGTGAACAACGCCTCTTTATTTGGGAGGAGACTGGTGGAACAGTGGAAGCAAAGCAGTGCCTATTAATTGAGCAGGCCAAGGTCCTGCGGGAGGGGGAGTCTACGCTGCTAGCACACGCTCTGCGCATGCGTGGTCTGCAACCCCGCCCCGAGGCGCGCTGGCCCCACCCACACGCTCTGCGCCCTGACGTCAGACGCGCAAAGCGCGCTGACGATTGCAGCGGGTGTATATTGCCGCGCCTCTTACGCTAGAGGCCTCTGCGGCGTGGTCCTCTGAGGGCTCGCGACTCTCCCCGCACTGGCCATGGCCGACTACCTGATTAGCGGGGGCACGTCCTATGTGCCGGACGACGGGCTTACGGCACAGCAGCTGTTCAACTGCGGGGATGGTCTCACCTACAAGTGCGGGCCTAGCGGGCTCACCTGGGCGAGGAGAGGGGCGGCGCGCTGCGCTGGGAGGCCTGGTGGGGCTTCCGTGGAGCCCGCTTGGGCTCGGGCAAGAGGGACAGGTTCCGGAAATTCCCTAACCATCTCTGGGGCTCACTTTGACAGATAAAGCGAGGCAACAGGGAGGCGGCATTTGGGTAGTGCTTGGGATTTCGGGCTAGAAACTCCATTCTCTGGGCACATGGAGTTGTCTGGGTGTCAGAGGCGCTGATGACAGCTAGGTGGCAGAACAGGGCCTGTCGCTATCTCCACCTTGCGCTCTGCCTTGCCTGTGATACATGGGCTAGGTCAGTGCCCTTTCTGCCCAAATGCTTTATGAGATGATCTACGGGGATGGAGTCTCCGGATGTACTAAGCCTGAACCTCACTCCCAATTTGCTCCCCTACCCCCGTAGTGACTTTCTCATTCTCCCCGGGTACATCGACTTCACTGCAGACCAGGTGGTGAGTACGACCAGTGAATGGGTCCTTAGCATTCAGATTGGGCAAGGTGCCGTTGTACCCTGGTGTACCTCACCAGAGTGGGCTTTGGGGTGGAGTCTATGGAATGATGGTACTAGCATGCAGGTCGTACAGGGCAACTGTTTTGTGGAGTACCGGGCATCATATGCAGAGTTTTCTCACATTAGATGGCTTTCTATCCTTAGGACCTGACCTCTGCTCTGACCAAAAAGATCACTCTGAAGACCCCACTGGTTTCCTCACCCATGGACACAGTCACAGAGGCCGGGATGGCCATAGCAATGGCGGTGAATACCATGGGGCATGAGGGCAGAAGCAAGGGCCTCATCTCTTCCCCAGAGGCATACAGCCACATCTTAATCTTGTATTCCACAGCTTACAGGTGGCATTGGCTTCATCCACCACAACTGTACACCTGAATTCCAGGCCAATGAAGTTCGGAAAGTGAAGGTCAGAGGGGCAAGGATCGTGGTCAAGATTTCATGAGATTGCACTGGAGTGGGAGTGGGGGGGTTATTTTGCTCCTAATTAAGGATCCTGTTTTCCCCACTGTGGAGTTGAGTTCCTGAGCAGAAGAGCCTGAGACCCTGGGTCTTAAGGCAACAGAAGAGGACCAGGTGGACAGTGCCTGCCTCCCACCCATGTCTCATATTCCTGGGTTTGAGGTGTTGGTGTGATTTGTTCCTGTGGCAGTGCCAAAGGGGAAGTTGGCACAGACCCGTCTTCAGATCAAGAGCCCATTCTTGTCATCCCTTCCAGAAATACGAGCAGGGATTCATTACGGACCCAGTGGTCCTCAGCCCCAAGGATCGAGTACGGGATGTATTTGAAGCCAAAGCCCGGCATGGCTTCTGTGGTATCCCCATCACTGATACAGGCCGGATGGGGAGCCGCCTAGTGGGCATCATCTCCTCGAGGGACATTGATTTTCTCAAGGAGGAGGAGCACGACCGATTTTTGGAAGAGGTAGGTACGCTGGCAAAGCCAAGTTTCAGCAACCAGGCTAAAGACAAGGAGCCTTCTGTTGCCCAAGTGGCATCTTTGATGGTCTCTACTGTCAGGCAAGATGAATACGCAACCAAGTTTCTGACCTGAGACCCACACACACGTTCTCAATCTGCCCAAATGGTTGCCAGCACACACCTGTTCTTTGCCACCCCCAAGGTGAAGGAAATGCTTAAGGACCAACTTCAGCCTCCTCTTTTAATTCTCTCGTCATGGGTCTGGTGTGGCCTTTTTCTTCTTACGATGTATCAGGCTACTCCATGTGTTGTACCATATTGTCCTTTTACTCGATTCCCGTGCTTGCCATTACATTGCTGCAGGGGCTGTTGTGCTCACTTGGGGGGCGTGATTTGGGCGCAGGAGTGTGAACAAGATGGGCCTTGGAAACTCCTCCCCCCTCTCCACCGAGTTCAGGGCAGGTCCTGTTGGGAGATCTGGTCCCTGATTGGCCCTTCCTCACAGCTCCCTTCCCTCTTAGATCATGACAAAGAGAGATGACTTGGTGGTAGCCCCTGCAGGCATCACACTAAAGGAAGCAAATGAAATTCTGCAGCGCAGCAAAAAGGGTGAGTCCTGCACACAGGAAGGGCTCTGTAACCAAAGACTGGGATGCTGATTGTGTCCTGCCCTGCCCTCAGGAAAGTTGCCCATCGTAAATGAAGATGATGAGCTGGTGGCCATCATCGCCCGGACAGACCTGAAGAAGAACCGGGATTACCCACTGGCCTCCAAAGATGCCAAGAAGCAGCTGCTGTGTGGAGCAGCCATTGGCACTCACGAGGATGACAAGTACCGCCTGGACCTGCTGGCGCAGGCTGGTGTGGACGTAGTCGTGTTGGTGAGCTGCTGTGCGAGCAGGGTGGGGCGGTAGGGGGTGCTGCCACACCCCTCACCGGGACTTCCTCCCTGTTCCAGGACTCTTCCCAGGGAAACTCCATCTTCCAGATCAACATGATCAAGTACATCAAAGAGAAATACCCCAGCCTCCAAGTCATTGGAGGCAATGGTGAGGCCACACTGGACACAGAGGACGGGGGCTGGGGGGGGAGCTGAGCTCCCGCCTAGACTTTCACCTGAGCCATTTTCTGTTCTCCGTGGCAGTGGTCACAGCTGCGCAGGCCAAGAATCTCATCGATGCTGGCGTAGATGCCCTGCGGGTGGGCATGGGCAGTGGCTCCATCTGCATCACCCAGGAAGGTAAGATGTTTTGCCAGGACCCTTAGCTCCATGTGCCCTGGAGCCCAGTGCTCTCACGGGGACTACAAAGAGTCCTCCAGTAGGCGCAGCCCCAGGGCCAAATGGGCCCCTTGGATGGGTGACACACTGGAAGCAAGACGAGCTCTCGTCACTCCTCACTTGCCACTCCTCCCTGCCTAGCCTGGCCTCCTTGCTCCTGCTCTGCGCCCTCTCTAAACTCTGGTCTGTTTGTTTTATTTAGCAGCTCCCAAGATCCCTCCAGACATAAAGTCCCACAGCCCCAAATGCCCTTCTACTGTCACGGGCTGCTATAGTAAGTCCGGCCCGGCCCACTGGCCCGGCCCAGCTGCCCACTGCCCGGCTGCTTGGTTGACTGTAGCTGTAGCTCCCGGGGTTTGTGGTGCCGATGGGTGGGCAGGGCAGACTGAATGACAGACCATGGTTTTGGGGGCTGCTCCAGAGCACAGCTCCCTCTTCTTCCTGGGGTGCTTACAAGGCAGGCCTCCCTCCCCAGGTGGGTCCTGCTCTGCCCACATCTCCCACAGTAGGGCACAGCTCAGGGCCAACTCTGGAGCACACTCTTCCTTCCACATGACCCCTCCCCTGACCTTGCGTGAGCTGCCCACCACGTAGGGAGGAAGGGGCGGGCCTCTGGGTACTAACTGCACAGTAACCCCTCCCCCACCTGATAGCAGTTGGGTGGGGCTTTCCCGGCTGCTGACTGCACGCGCCTGAGGCTGCCCTGGGCCTTGCACACATGCACGTGCACATGCAGGGTTTCGTGGTGGCCGTCACAGCTGTTTGTGCTGTTCACGGCAGATGGGGCAGCCATCCCAGACATGACTTGTCCTCAGCCAGGCCGCAGTCCTGCTGCAGGTGTAGCTGAGAGCTCCTGGGTGCAGAGTTGTGACCACAGGGCCCCTTGCCTGTCCCCACCAACTCCACTCACCTATCTGTTCCTTTCTTTAACAGTGCTGGCCTGTGGGCGGCCCCAAGCAACAGCAGTGTACAAGGTGTCAGAATATGCGCGGCGCTTCGGTGTTCCTGTCATCGCTGATGGAGGGATCCAAAATGTGGGCCATATCGCCAAAGCCTTGGCCCTCGGGGCCTCCACAGGTGAGGCCCAGCAGCCAGGGAGCCTGGTGGGACCCCTCCCCCATTGCCATCCAGGGCCCACCCCCAGCACTCCATCTGTCCACAGTCATGATGGGCTCCCTCCTGGCTGCTACCACTGAGGCCCCCGGGGAGTACTTCTTCTCCGATGGGATCCGGCTCAAGAAATACCGTGGTATGGGCTCTCTTGACGCCATGGACAAGCATCTCAGCAGCCAGAACCGCTACTTCAGGTGGGACACGAAGATCAGTGAGCTCATGCCGCCTCTTCACTGGTCTTATTTGTGCTTTGACCGTGTCTTCTGCCTGTCTCTGCAGTGAAGCTGACAAAATCAAGGTGGCCCAGGGGGTGTCTGGGGCTGTGCAGGACAAAGGGTCCATCCATAAATTTGTCCCCTACCTGATTGCTGGCATCCAACACTCCTGTCAGGACATCGGTGCCAAGAGTCTGACCCAAGTCAGGTAAGCTTGGGGCGCTTGGGCGTCGGTGGGAAGGCTGATCCAGGCCCGGCCACCCACGTCGGACACCTGCCCCTTCGCAGAGCCATGATGTATTCTGGGGAGCTCAAGTTTGAGAAGAGGACATCCTCAGCTCAGGTGGAAGGTGGTGTCCACAGCCTCCATTCGTAAGTCAGCAGCTCCTTCCCACCCTGTCCCTGGGGCGGGGTCTCCACCATGCCTCTTCCCTGCTGCCCTCCCCTCACAGCGGTCCTTCTGCCTACAGGTATGAGAAGCGGCTTTTCTGAGAAGGGACACAGCACAACCCCATGGTTTTTCAATAAAAGTTTGAAAAAAAGTGGTGCCTGATCTTTGAGTCAACAGGCGGGAGGGGCTCGGCAGCTGCCTGATCGACAACACACACAACGCCCCGATTTCCAGGGAAGCCTCGGGCCCTGAGGCAAGGGTGCCCCTGGACCTGGAAGGGGTGGTAGTTCTGGATTCAGAGTCCCTCCTGGGCGGCTCACAAGCCAGCCCAGACCAGCTGGGGCTCTCAAGGGTCAAGGGTGCAATCTTAGATTCTGTAAGCACACTGTGGCTTCTTAGACGGGTCAGATAACAGTCCACAGATCTTTGGACTGACATCCACAGGCCTCCTGCTAGGCCACATGGGACTGGACTGAGACCCCGACACGTCCCTAACCGGGATTTCTAAAGGACCTCCCGGAGAATGGAGATCGCCTCGAATCTGCACGCGAGCAAGTAGACAGAGCTGCGGTTTGGAATGGGTGTATACACCCCCTCCTGGCCATCTAGTCTAGACGATAAAGGGACCCCTCGGTTTCTTCACAACCCCCATGAGGAGCCCACTGAGTCAGCAGCCCCTGGCCAGCAACGCACCTAGTACAAAATGGGAGAAGTGGATTAAATTATTGATTTGTGGGCAGGCAGGACAAGCATTACAGTGCCGCAGGGGAGGTGCCAGTGAAAGCGCGGGGAACCCCTGCACTCTGCGTAAGGCACCAGGGCCCTACGAGGAAGGTCAGTTCTGGCGCTTCACTCTGCAGCTTGGGACACAGATGTGAGCGCAGTCCCTCCACGTGGGGGGATGAGAGCAGCTCCCGTCACTCGGCCTTCATGACACAGGAAGTTGAAAGTGGCACAAGCGTTGGGCTGCAAAGAGAAAGCCAGCATCAGCTGAGCCCGAGCCGGGCCCGGGCTGCCCTCAGCGTTCCCCAGCCCCGGGACGGACCGTGTCCTGCACTTCCACAGCGATGCCCCGCTGCCTCATGGCTCGCAGCACCTGGGGCTGCAGCCGCTCGGTCCGGTCTCCAGTGCCCACCACGACGATCTCTAGGGAAGGATGGGCACGGTTAGTCCACAACCAGGTCTGCGGGCAGGCTGGGGTGGGGTGGCTTCGGGGGCGGTGCTCGGAAGACCACAGCTCTTCCCTCCTCCGATACCTATTGGGGGCTCCAGCATCCAGAAGAGAGAGAAGCTTTCTTCCGTGATGTCCTGGTGAGATCCTACCTGTGTGGGGGAGAGGCAGGTTAAAGACAACAAACCCACGTGGCTTTCCCCGTAGGCCTGCTCCGCAGCGGGACCGCGGAAGAGCCGAGGGCGAGCCGGAGCTCCAGCCCTCCGCTTCCTCTCTGCAGGGGAAGGCTCACGTTCCACTGCAGCACCGAGCGCGGGAGCAGCGCGCAGGGCCCAAACACGCGATTTCCATTGACCATGAAGCCGCGGTTGCTGTAGCTGTCGATGTACATGGCGTGCGGGGCCTCGCGTTGCAGCAGAGAGATGCGTGTCCGCTGATACAGCTCATCGTCGGCCGGCGTGAGGCGGTGCCCACGCCGTGGCGCCCTGCGGAGGGGCACGGTCAGGGTCTGGGGGACCGGGGGTGCGGAGCCGCCGCGGTTGGCGGGGCAGGCTGGGGTCGGGCAGGGACGTCCCCCTGTGGGACTGGACTCACCACAGCAGCTCCGCGGGCAGAAGGCGGAGTTCGGGTCGCGCTCGGTACAGGCCCCGTAGCACAAACGCAGCGGCCATGGCAAAGCGGTTCTCAGGGTCAGCGGGGTGGTAGGGTGCCCAACCCGGAGCGGATACAGCGCCCCCTGCTGTCCGGAGGGCGCAGCACAACTCGACCGGCCCAGCGCGGGAGAACTAGGGAGCCGGCTAGCGCCATCTGTCCCAGGGAGGCTACGTTCCCCAGAGCGGCTCCGATGTCTGCACCTGCGGCCCGCCCCTCCCCCGGTCCCCGCAGACGGTCCTGGGGGAGCCAGACACCTGGTGGCGGGGCCGGCCTCAGGACATTGCCTGGGTCCCAGTCATGGCCTGGCCCCGGCTCTCAGCCATTATAAAGGTCTCCCGGGGCTGGGGCGGGGCGGCGCGCACCTGGCCGACTCCCGCACACCTGGCGAGGGCCTGGTGCCAGCTTCCAAGCCCCTGACCCCAGTTTTGGGGCGTCAGGTTGCGAGGGCGGGGCAGGAGGCTCAAGTTTCCCCGCTCTGCCAGGTATCACGCCCCTTCTCAACCGTCACCCGCGCGACCGTTGGCGTCGCCGACGCGAGTCCCGTGGGGCGTGGCCGCGCGTGGATTGGCTTCTTGGGAGCGCGAGGGGGCGTGGCCGGGTGGTTTCTCTTTAAAATGGCTCCAGTCTGCAGCCAGAGCGAGCGGAAGGGGACGCGGCGGTAGGGTTCCTGCAGGTGCTCGGGTGGCAGCTACTGAACTGAACCGGACTAGACATTGAACTAGACAGCGGCTGGAGCAGCACCCTGTCTTCGCTCACTCTGCTCGCGTCCCACCCGCTCCTGACTCGAACCGAATCAGAAGGCCTACTGGCGCGAGAGTTGCTGGCGCCCGCGCGGGGTTCGGGAGTCTCCGCGCACCCGACCGTGTCGTGGCTTCAGGGGAACGTGGCCGCGTCTGCTCTCCGCGGGGCTGGGCGGGTGGGAGGCAGAGTCGGTACAGACGAGGGTGGCCTCAGTGGATTCCTGGGGGTTCTTGTTGCCGCCGTACGAGCCCATGGGGCCCCCCATAGCTCCGGGCGCTAGTGGTCACCGGACAAAGGGCTCCGGGTGCGGGGGTGTCCCGGAGGCGGGCGGGCGGGTTTACTTCCTCCCCGGCCCCACGGAGCGCTTCCTTCTTGGCGGATCCCCAAGCTCGCCCCAACACTGTCACCTCACCAGTGGCTCTGGCCGCAGGAGATCAACAGGACTAATCCTACCCCGCGGGTGTAATTCGGAACGGGACTCGGTCCCGGGGGAGGCCCCCACCGTCGCTCCTATTGTTTTGGGGCCCAGGTGAGCTCCTCATTCGCACAGGACTCGGTTTCACCGACTACTCCTAGGTCTGCCTCCTGGGACTGAAAATGAAGGGGCTCTATTCTGGCCCCAGGGCAAGGGATCCCCCCACACACACCCCCACGGCTGGACAGCGGGCAACGGAATCCCAAAAGCAGCTGTTGTCTCCAGAGCATTCCAGCTGCACTTGGATTTCGTTCCCTGCTCTCCTGCCTGAGCAGCGTCCTGGCCCAGATGGGGTGGGTCAGCGCCTCCGACCACAGACGTGTTTCATTGGGTCGGCTAATCTCCGTCCCTCAGGTGCGCCCTCAGGCTGAAAGTGACGGGGGCTTAGACGTGAGAAAGTCTGGACGGTGGCCATCTCAGGGACCCAGGGTAGCATTGGTGAAAGAGAGAGGGCAGACCGAGGGCCTCCGGATAGGGCTGCAACGGCGGTGAGTCCCACAGGGCCGCCCCAGCCCGCAGTTCGCTAAAGATAGCCCTTCACTTCCTGGGGAAAAACCACCCCAACTCTTTTCTAGTACCGAGAGTAGCTGAAATCCCCAGCTAGGTCTCCAGCCAGCCCAGATAACGGCTGTCCTGGAGGCCCACGGCTGCCAGGACGTGGAAAGCTCCCTGGGATGATAGGATCATTCCGGTTGAGTAGCCCCCCAAGGAGCTACCCGGAATGTCGTATCCGCCCAGTGCTCTTTAGGCGCCTCGCAGGAGGTCCTTGAAGCCCTGGCCTAGAGAGGGGCCTTGCCAAACTTTTTCTGCCCCCTAGGGTTCCCTCTTGAGTTCTGGGCACTGGCCCTGCTTCAGAGCAGAGATCACGCTTTTCCCAGCACTCTGTGCTGTGTAAGTTTCAATTTCATCAGAGGATTTAAGTAAGTTATACTGAAGCGAAAACGTTTGGGTGTCAGCCTAGGGTAAGAAAGAGCTTTCTGTCTGGCAGAGGAGCGGCGTGCTCCATCGGAGCCTAAGCCGGGGAGGGAGGAGGGAGCCCCGTTAAAGTGCAGCAGGTTAAAGGAGGACGCTTTCAAACCTGGCAATCCTGAGAGCCATCACGACGGCTCTGATTCCTCAAGAATCAAGAGGAGAAAACCGGTGATTCTATCAGTGGGAGTTTATCGGGACTAAAAGACCCTTGTCTCAAAGGAGAAAATGCTTGCAAATAACCTGAAACCGCAAAACAAATTCCTTTTTAGTGAGTTAAAAAAAATAGGTCGTGAAGGTGGCATTAATGTAAGCTGCCCTATTCCAGTGACAATTCATTTGCAACTTTTAACATTTTGTTCATGCGTAAAATGATGGAAAAGAAACGTTATCACAAATACAGAGATGTAAGCCTTTGATGAGTAAAGAGGCCCCACCAGGTTTCCTGGTTGCTAATGCGGGTGACAGCGAAACAACCCTAAGCCCACGAGAACCCCGAGGTTTCGGACCCGGCCCAGACAGGGCAGGTGGGCTATGGTGGGGCCGTCTGCCGAAAGCGGTCGCCACTGTTCCCCTCTGGTGCACCTGCCTACTCGGGACCGGATCCCCCGCCCGGTCAATTGCTCTTCCGGAAGTTCGACCTCCCAAAAATTTGCTTCCGGTTCCGGTCGCTATGGCGACTGGGCGCCTTGGAGTGGAGGAGACCCTGGGGGCCCTCAACGCGGCCCTGGGAGCTGGCTGCCCCGTGTGGTTCAAGGAGACGCGCGCCCGCCACCTGCGTGCCCGAGACTTCCTGGCGCCAAGGCGCGCGCTACAGGCGCGCTTCGAGGACGGTCAGGTGGGCGCTGTCCGGGAGGGGACGTGTGGCCGAGGGTAGCTCGGAGCACCGCAGCCCCACTCATCGGCCTGCTTCCCCACAGGTGCCGGAAGCTGTGGTCCATGCCGTGGTCGGCCTGCAGGGCCCCGGTGTGGCCCCGGTGTTGCGATGCGAGGCGACACCCTCGGGCCTGGCGCTCCAGCTGCAGCGGTCTGCAGTCTTCGAGCGCGTGCTCGGCTCCGTGGCTGCCTATGCCACGCCCGCCGCGCCCGCCGCTCGTGGTCCGCGCGTCATCCTGCACTGCCCATCGCTTCGTGCCGCCCCCTGCACGCTCCGCCTGTGCCAGCTGCGGGCTGTGCTCGTGGCCGATCACCTTGCTCAAGCTTTGCGCGTTCATGGGTGAGCGAGCGTGTGCGGCTGGAGAGGAGAAAGTGCGGCCCTTGGGAACTGGCCGCTTCGGGTAGGAAGTAGGGGTGAGCCATACCGGCTGCTCAGGCTAAGACAGTTGCCCTCGCTCTTGCAGGGTTCGTGTGAGCCTAGTGCCTGCCGTGCGGGACCCGCACATGTCGACATTACTGCAGCAACTGCGGGTGGACTGGCCCTCTGCCTCGGAGCCGGCCCCAACCGAAGCCCTGTGGAGCCGCGCACTGGCAGAGTTTACCTCTGCTGGTGACAGAGGAGCCCTGCCCCCCGGCGTCCTGGGCAGCGTGTGCCTGAAGGAGCTGGTGGAAGGACGGGGACGCTCAGCTGGTTACGACCCCAACCTGGACAGCTGTCTGGGTAGGACCTGGAGCCTAGCAGGGCCAGAAAGAAGACGGGGACTCCTGTGGTCCCGGCTAGCCCCGTGCCTGTGTTCCCAATGCAGTGACTGAGGATCTGCTCTCCGCGCTGGCTGAGCTGCAGGCAGCTGTGCAGCGTTGGCCTGAGGACAGCTCCCCAGGCCTGGTTAGTGACTGACTTCCCACCCCCTCAGCCTTTGGCGAACTGAGGTGTCCTGTGCCCCCGCAGTGACTGTCCTTCTCCCTTCTAGGCTGCAGCCCTAGATGCTGGTGTAGACAGCTGCACGGTGGTGCACGTGGTGAGTTACGAAGAGGAGTTCCAGCAACAGAAGTTGGACCTTCTTTGGTGGAAGCTGGATGATGGCGCTCCTCTCAGACAGGTAGGTTAGTGATAGAGCTCCCCCTACCGACCTCAGAAAGCACCTGAAAACCTATTGAGGGGCCTGCAAGCTGACTGGTGCAGGAGGGATCTTGAGACACATTAGACTTGGTGAAGGGTAACAAGCAGCAGGTGCAGAGCCCTGGGAGGGGGTGGGGCCTGGAGAATAGGTCTCCTGAGGGGCTGGGCTTGAGGGGAAGGTGCTAAGCCTGGTGGTAGGTAACCGGCTGGGGGAGTCCCGGCCCTGGGTTTCAGTTCCTTGTGGGTTTTGCTGCTGGGGGGTGTCGCCAGCTGTCTGAGCCCTGGCTCTCCTCCTGACAGAAGCACGTGGTGTGTGGCCCCGTGAAAGTAGCTGGTGTACCCGGCACTCTGACCGCCCCCGAGTACTACGAGTGAGTGAGCCTGGGAGGAAGGCCGCCAAGCCACCACGGGTGAGGTGGGGACTCTGCCCACTGGCCCTCCTCTCTTTCTTGCAATGCAGGCTCCGGCACGCACAGGTGTGCAAGGCTTCAGCTCTGAAGCACAGCAGGGACCTGGCACAAGGTGGGCCTGGGAGACTGGCTGTGCCCTGGGGCGGCAGCGGCGGCAGGCCGTCCGTACCCCAGCCCCGGGTCCCTTGCCTGGGAGAATGACTGACCTATGCCCCCTCAGACCCAGCCTGGGCAGAAACCTTCAGGGTCCTCTCCGTGGCGACCATCAAGTTCGAGATGCTCAGCAAGGCCCCGCAGAGCCAGGTGAGCCTGGGTGCCCCACAGGACCAGGACGGGGGACAGGCTGTGTGGTGGCTGCCCCCCTCTGCAGCTGTGCCATTCCTCAGCTCTGCGTGGCCCTGGCCGACGGCATTTCCACCAAGGGGACCAAGAGTGGCACCTTTGTCATGTACAATTGTGCCCGTCTTGCCACACTCTTTGAGGGTTACAAGCGCAGCGTGGAACAAGGTCTGTACCCTGCTTCCCCACCTGTGAGCAGCCTGGATTTCTCCCTGCTCCGCGAGGAGGTGAGTGCGCCTCTCAGCAGCAGACGCCGCCAGGCGGCTCGGACTGGCCCTCTCAGCAGCCTTCTCCCTACAGGGTGAGTGGCTGCTGCTCTTCAACGGCGTGCTCCCCTTCCCAGACCTGCTGCACCAGACAGCAGCCCTGGACCTCACGGCCCCGGGGCTCCGCATGGCCGCGCACACGGAGATGGTGAGGCAGGAAAGGCCGGGACAGGCACTGCACGTTCTTTATTCTGGGCTGGGGTGCAAGGGCAAAGAGACAGACCAGTGACTCAGTCTCTGTCTAGGTGTGCAAGTTTCTGGTGCAGCTGAGCATGGATTTCAGCTCCTACTACAATCGGGTGCACGTCCTAACGGTCAGCACACAGCAACGGGGGTGCGGGAGGGGTGGTGTGGGGGAAGGAAGCAAAGGGTGAGACCAGCAGGCCCCTTCTGTCCTCCAGGAGCCACGGCCACACCTGTTCGGCCAGATGTTGGCCCGTCTGCAGCTTCTACGCGCTGTGCGCGAAGTGCTCCACGCCGGCCTGGCCCTGCTGGGCCTCCCTCCACTGAGCCACATCTAAGGCCACAGAGGTTCCAGTGCCTGGGAATGTTCGCAAAGTCAGCAACTGTAAAACACACAAAAACACAGCTTTTTGTTGAGAGGCCTGGAGCCAAATAAATTGTTACGAAGCTTTGCTCCGTTGTGAAGGCTAGGGGCACACGCACCTCTGGGCTGCCCAGGCAGGCTGTACTCACCCGCAACACCTGCTCTGACGTCGGGAACCCGCGGCCGCCACCGCCGCCTCCCCTCGAGGCACGCTGAGCACGGGCACAGACAGCCACTCGCGTTCCACTGCGTCTGTGGGCAGGCCCCACGCCCAGCACGCCGGCCACCGCGGGGCCCCTCAGTCGTACCAGTTGTAAACCTCGAGCCCCTGGCCCCCAAGAGCACAGCGGTGGCCGAACTCGGGGCTCACGGGCCAGCAGTCCATGCTGGCCACATCCGGCACGTGGTACACTGCACTGTTGATGAAGGTGGGCTCCCCGTGCCCTAGACGCCAGAACGTCAGCCGCTGATCGATGGAGGCGGAGACCATGAGGCTTGGGCTTAGGACGTGCAGGCCCATCACATGGGCAGCATGTGCGCAAGGGACGGAGTGTTGCTCTAGGACGCGCAGCTGGGGCGCCGGCTCAGCAACACTCCCAACCTCTTCCAGCTCCGGCACCTCCACGGCAAGCACAAAGACGTGGAGGGAGCCATCTTCACTGCCACTCGCCACGAGATGGCCCTCCCGTGTGGGCAAGGTGTGCAGGCTGTTGACACCACAGCTGTGAGCCTGGAGGGTCAGGCAGGGGTTGCCCAGCCCTGGAGGAAGGAGATGGCTGTCAGGGCCCAGCCTGCCCCACGGGGGAAGACAAAGTGGGAGATGGGGAGGGACAGCCACGGTTGCACACGAGCTACTCACGGTAGGGACACCCAGGGTCTGCCGGAGGTTCCAGAGCAGTGGAGCCAGGGTCCAGCACAGTGGTGAGGTCCCAGAAGGCCAAGCTGCCATCAGTGGCTGCACTGCACAGGAACAGTCTCCTGGGAGCCAGGAAGACAGCTGGGTCAGTCAGGGAGATGCAAAGCAAGAGGGGCCCCCACGGACCCACACAGAACCATCACGCACCCCTCTCACCTCCGCTGGTTGGGCGCCTCGTGTGCGAAGGAATGGACCTTGAGGACACAGCGTCTGTGGTGGAAAGTCTCAGCCAGGAGCTGCAGCCGCCGCCCAGAGTCCTGCAAAAGAAAGAGCCTGGCGGGGCAGAGGGCAGCCCAGCTCAGAGCCCATTCCGGACCAGCCCGCCCCTGCCTCCTGCCCCCGCCTCCGAGCACGATGCTCCTACCTCACTGCCCCGTCACTACAGGCTGCAGCCACGAGGGGGCCACGGCCAGGCGGGTCGGGCTCGCACACCGCTAGGCACATGTACCTGCAGGGAGAACGCAGCCGTCAGGCGCAGCCCTGCGCGGTGCCACCCCAGCTCCTGCCGGGCAGTGCACGTCACCTGGTCTCCGGGTCCACCTTGACCGTCCGGTGCCGACTGCGCTGCCGGTCCCAGTGCTCATCCAGCCGGTGAGACGAAAGGTGCGTAACGTGGCAGGCGAGGCGGCTCGGGGTGCTGGGGTCCAGGGTGACCATGATGTTGAAGCAGTGCATCTCAGCCCGGCCCCCCGCAGACACCACATGGGCAGTCAGGCCTGGCTGAGGATCCTGAGGGCCCCCTGGGGTGCCCACGCCCCACACGGCCACGGCACGCACCGAGGAGATATGGTTGCAAACAGCCGTGAGCGCGTGGGCTGAGCCCGTGGCTGTGGGGATCGCCAGGACACAGATGGTCGTGTCCTCACTGCACGTGATCACAATGTCGATCAGGCCGGGCCCCTCGCTGCCGGGCTCCGGGTGGTCAGGCTGCGTGAAGCCGGGCAGCTCGAATTCAGGCCCTAGGGTGATGGCGCCCACACGCTTTACACATGTGATCTCACGGCCATGCAGGCTCTCCCGGAGAATCACGTGTGGCCGGGTGCAGCCACCCAAAGCCCGGTACAACATGACATCCCCGTCCTTCAGGTAGGCAAAGGCCATGGCTGCCTCAGTATCAGAGAAGGCCCAGGAGCGGTGCCCTCCGCCGCAGTTGACGATGTGCAGCTTCTCGTGTGACCGGGGGCTCCACACCACAAACTCGTTGGCATGGAAACCCAGGATGACCATGTTCCCGTCAGCCATCATGCGGAGCCCGGCCACCCAGTTCATGCCTCGGCAGGACTTCTGCCTTAGGACTGGCTTCAGCTGGTTGCCTTGCACGAAGAGCTGGTAGTAGGCACCATCGCGCCCTGTGCTATACACGTAGCCACTGTGACAGGTGACCGAGGTCACACCTTGCTTCCCGTGCAGAAAACGAAGGACGGACACGGGGCCCCACTCGGCTAAGGCCGTCTCACCCTCCCCTCCGCCACTGCCCACTCCCAGGGCTCCGGCTCCAGCCCCGGCCTCGCCTCCAGCCCCCGGGTCCTCGAGCAGAGCTGGTCTGGAGGGGAACAGCAGCACGGAGCCCCGGCGGTCTCCGCACACCAGGAAGTCGCCTGGGGGCAGGAAGGCACTGCACGTGTGCCATCGCTGCTTGCTGGGAGGCAGCAGGTACCGGCAACGCTCCTTGACAAAGATGGCCTTGCCGGAGGGGGCGGCTGTGATCTCCAGGCAAGCCACCACGCCGCCAGGGCCCGAGGCCAACAGCAGGAGCTCCTCGTAGCCACGCAGGGCCCAGCTCACACTGTGTACCTTCCCGTGGAACAGGGTCAGGTCCACGGCCGCGGTTGGAGTGTTGATGGGAACGACCTTGATGTGACCCTCCCCACTGGCCATGGCACACAGGCCCAAGCCCTCTGGACCGGGGGCTGCCTCCAGGAGGCAGTAGGACTGGAAGCGCTTGTCCTCCAGTAACTGATCCCAGCACTTGACCTTGAGGTCATAGAGGTACAGGGCCCCTGCATCGGTCACCGCCAGCACGCGCCACGAGCCAGCCAATGTCACAGCCTTGAGGGCACCTGGCCTGCTACGGGACTTGAAGCCGAGAGCTGAGACCCCCGAGCCTGGGTGCCCACGTCCTTTCAGGTGCCACAGCCGGATGCCCGAGTCATCGCCCCCCGTGATCACCCAGGCCCGCCTCTCGTGGGCCGCTATGGCCCGGATCCCACGGCCCTGGTGGCCACGAAAGGCCTGGAGGATCTCACCTTCGTGGCTCCACACCAAGCAGACACAGTCCTCTCCCGCGCTAATCAGGTAATTCTCTAGCAGCTTGACCTGCCACACGCGGGCGCTGTGCCCAAAGCAGTGCCCGACATTCTGCACCCGGCCCCCAGGCACCCGCAGGTCACCCACCTTCCAGATGCGAACACTTCGGTCTTCCGAAGCTGTGGCCAACAAGCCCTTGCTCTCCAGGTACGACATGCTGAAGATTACACCCACGTGCCCGCTGACCCGTCGGTCGGGGGCCACGGACTTGCTGTCCACTAGAGCAGCTGCCGGGTACCAGACCAGGAGCTGGTTGGAGACGGCACCTGCCACCACGGTCAGCTCCTTCCAGGTGTCTCCGACCAGACAGGCGGAGGAGAGGGTGCACCTGTCTGTGCAGGGCACGTCCTGCAGGAGGCACCCGATCACAGGGTCGTACAGCACCACCGAGTTGTGGCCCAGGGCCAAGGCCATGTTCCCCTCGAGCCAGCGTGCGTCCCAGATCCAGTCAGACATGGTCCACAGGCCAGAGCGCCAGAGCTCCCGGAAGCGGCCCTGTCCCCAGCTCATCTTCACAATCCGGAGTCCCTTGCTCCCAAACACAGCTACCATGGCCTCCGAGTCAAGGTCTCCGCTGGGTTCTGGTCGCACCCGGAACCCGTGGATCAGATAGTGGCCAAGCAGGTTCTGCACTCGCCTCATCATCCGCAGATGCCCGCCGGCACCCAGGCTGTACACCAGGACATCCGGCCCCTCACCTGGACAGAGGCGAAGAGCCACGTCAGGACCCCGTCCGGCTGACAGGCCGGGAAGAGGGGAGGGCGGCGGGAGTCCCCACAGGCAGCCTACGCGTGTGCCAGGACACACAGTCCCGCGGGTCCGAAAACCTGGGTCTCAGCTCCAGCCGGACTTTCAGTGGCGACACTCTGACCCAACCGCAGATTCCTCACACTCACAGCCTCCTCCGCACACCACCTAACCTACGCCTCAGACGGGAACCCTCTCAGCTTTAGTCCCCAAATCCTTAGCCTCCTCTACCCGCACACTAATTCTTCCCGAAGCTCCCAACCCCAGGGGAGAGGCCTTCCCACTAAGACAATCTTTTCACCTTGGGGCTACAGCAGAACCCCTCCTGATTTCCAGGAGTTTCTTCCCTGCATCTCAGAGGACATGAGCACGTTTAGTATCAATGGGGAGAAAGAAAGAGGAGGGGCAGCCCGCACTTCGGCAGCAGGGGCCCCTGTGGCCGTGGGCTGCCTCCTGGCTGCGCTGCAGGCCCCTCCCACCCTACTAGCTCATCCGCAGGTTCTCCCGGTGCTCATCATAACCACCAGCACCGACCGCCCGTGCCCCAGCCCCACATCAGGAAGCCCTCGGCTCAGTCCTCGTAACTTCCCACATCCTCTCTGTCTCCACGTTCCGTGGATTTCGTTTCCTAAAGAGCACGCAAATCCCCACCACAGTGACTCTGGCCCAGAAGATTGCTTCTTAACTGGACATGACCCTAGCAGTCCCTCACGCCGTTCCTAGTCTGCAATCTCAATCCCCTGACGTTCAACAACTACTTGGTGGACACCAATTATAAAGCAGACAGTGAACTGTATGCTGGAGCCGTGAACAAGACAAGCACAGACCCCGCTCTACGGACTAGGCAGACACTGAACAACAGCACCCAAGTAAACTACATTGTCGTGATTTTGGTTAAGTTCCAGGAAAGGGCTAAGTAGGTTGCTCTCAGCACATAAAATGGGAAAGCCTACTCCAGGGGCTCTCAGTTGTTGTTTTTTTTTGGGGGGGAGGGGGTGGATTTTCCCTCCAGGAGACATCTGGCAA